TAAATCTCCATCGAAACAATTTTTCCTTGGCAACTTGATTCAAAATCAACTGTTTGAACTCATTCATGGCACTCTAGATTGAAAATTGAAAAATGAGGATTTCAGGAAGACAAATATCAAAAAGTGGCAAATGGGGTGTCATTGTACTCACAATGTGATTCTCTATCGAAATAAGTGCCCATATACTGGGTGTCCCATTTAAAATAAGAAAATAAGGGTCGTTTCCGGTCAAACCGGAAGTGACAGACAACAATTGATTACGTCAAATAATGCATATTAATGTACTATACTCACACACCAAATTTCATTCGATTATCTGTATAGGAAAAAAAGTTATATAGGGGTGAGAAATACTTTTGAAAAACACCCGGTATATGGATATTTCTGGTGAACCTCTGCAGTTCCTCGTTCCAGATTCATTCATCTTCTCTGAAAGGTAGGTACTGAACCGTTAGGAAATTGTTCGTTCAAACTTGAATGGGTTTTTCATTTATTTCATCCCAGTTTGGTTGTCAAAGAATTTAGTGCACAATATACTTCGACCTGTACTCAGAATAAACAATGACTGAAGCACTAAAATATATTGCCTCGAATGAAATCATCTATAAATTTTTTTTATTGTTTTTATCTCTTGGTTCGCACGAAAGGAAATTCCTATAATGTTCGTGGAAAATCGTTCGTACCTAAGGAGAGTAGGGAGAGGAGGTATAAGTGTTGGATTTTTTTTTAATTCATGAAGTGTGTATAATATTATTTTGGAAGAATGTCTTTAGAATGCCTATGAATTATTGTTTTTGAATCAAATCGTTGTAATTCATTTGTTATAATATGTGCATAGGTCACTTACTACATAAAGAGCTTCTTAATGCATAAAAAACAACTTGTCATTAATTGAGCCATAGCATCGTTATTATTGAATATTTTTTCATGAAATGCCACAGATCTATTTCAGAGAACGGCGATTCCTATTGCATACGCGGATTTTTTTTAAAGAAATCGCTTATATGCATTTTGGATTTTTGGCCTTGGACCTTTCCCCACACCACATTTCAAAACTAATTTCGTCAAAATCGCTCCATACATGAAGGATTTATGAATTTGGCCCGCTTTCAAATGGGTCACTCTGTAGACACCTATGCCAGATAGGGGTATCTCCATTCTACAGTATGTCTTCTACAACAAGGTCGATTCAAGATGTCTCGATCAATAGGTTATTTTTTGAGGACTCCATTCTTGCTTGGACGAATTCCAGATCCATCCACTCCGCTTTGAGTTACTATATATGGACTTCTTCAACCCTATATTTTATTTTTTTTATTGGTGCTAGTGCATCATTATAATGGGATACTAACTCGAGAATTCAGGTAGTTTAGTCATTGATGAACTGTAGCAGAAGTGCTATCAAATGGCTATAAATCATTATATCATCACATTAGCGAGATCACCGTAATAATCACGTAATTGGAAATATTATTTTCCTAGTAAATATATATGTTCGTTTCTTATGGTGGCCATTAGTAGTTCCAAAATGGACATTGTAACTGGCGTACAATTAATTTTCTCCCTGATGTTATCAAAGAGAGTGCTTCCGGACTTCTATTATCGAAATAGAATATTGTATTGTGAAGAAATTTAAAAAAAAACGAGGAGATGAAGTTCTTCAAATGAATATAACAGGAAGGAATGAAAAAACAACTTCATAATAACTGATAAGTTCTCCAAGCTAATAATATGTATCACCTGAAAGTGGGTTAATACTTGTATACAGAGGCTTACTATGATTCAATGTCAATCGTCGGAAAGCTTCATTTCGAGATGACCAGAACTCCACAGTTGCATATAAAACAAAAAAACAATTGAATAAAAAAATCAGTTCATAGTTGGGGACGGTTATTGTGGAAAGTAGAGGTGAAGCTTCTAAATTCTGAAGATAAACTTTGAATTGTGGGTCTTGTCCTAAGGATAACACTATGTTGGTCAGACAAGTAGCACATTCAGCTACCGCATTCAAGAACATCAAATTCTGAAATTCACTTTATTAGATATATGATTATTGATGATGATGATATGATTGATACTATTTCGGAAGGTTCATAAGTTTAGGCTGTATGGTTGATGAATCATTGTGCGAGTTTTAAGAGATGCTTCAAATTACTCATAATTTCCATAAGATAAAGGCCGTATCGATTCAGAAAAAGAATGAGTTGCCTCATAACGTTTTGATTCTTGGATATCTACTATCGTCCTCAGGTAAATCGAATATCAGTGGCGGATCCAGGAGGGGGGTTAAAGGTCGAAATAATAATAGAGACCATTTGTTATATTCCATATAGGTACCTATTTATTGGAAGTACAGTGCTTTCTTTTTATGAAGAATCTCCTGAAATAGGTCGATTCTCATTTCCAATTTGTCACATTCATACAGGGTGCTTCATGTTTGAGTTACGTATTAAAATTTTTGAATCTCTATTGGAATTCAAAAATAAATAATTTCCTTTTATATAGGGTTTGCATACTTACAGTGCGTTCCTCAAATCGAGTGCTCTCGTAAAATAGAGGATAAATTAATTTTTATGAAAACTATCCATTTATGGGGAATCTCCTGAAACAGATCGAGTTTTGATCTCAATTCGACACATTGATAAGGAAAAATAAAATATGCAGGGTGTTCTACATTTGAGTAATGACGTCCGCGACAATTTTTTCGAACGGAACACCCTATATATTATGAAATATTTGTAATGTCCATAGTGAGCCGAATTCAAGAATATATCACATATGATGTTTGTATACAGGACATCCGTTGACTTGAGTGCTCTGCTTGTTCGAATTCCACTATAGCACACAGAATGATTCGTGTATGAGAAACTACGTCATCGGTAAATTTTTAATGGCAACCCCATTTTATGAGATCACTGTATACAAACCTTTTGTGTGGTTCTGAGAATCAAATAATATATATATAGGGTGTTCCAATTGAAGAAATTGTCGTTGACGTCATAACTCAAACTTGGAATAAATGTGGCAAATAGAAAATAAAAATCGACCTGCCCAGAAGATTTCTCAGAAATGGATAGTTTTTCTGAAAATGAATTTATTCAGTACGAGAGCACTGTATATTCGGATCATATTCATCCCTGTCCTAACCGTTACCCTGGATCTGCCGCCACTGCCGAATCTTGATGACACGTGAATACAGGATGTCCCAACTCTATATTCACTCGAAAACGGTTAACATTATCAACTTTCGGAAAAGACCCTGGTTCAACTGAGATAGTGTTTCACAACAGCTTGTAAGCTTATGAAAACAATTATGTATTACATTTCAGTTGAATATTCTGGGGATTCGCCTTTTGACCATGGAAGGAGACACATGGCGTCTCCAGGTCAAAAGTCAGGTTATAATGTGTGTGCAAGTCTTTAATTTTTCTAATTACCTGATCTGGATTAAAATCCAATATTTATTGTGAAGTTTAATAAGTGTGTGTGAAAATTGTAAAGCCCTTTTATCTCTACGCCGGTATAGAGGCCGGATGGTGACGGATTCACCGGATAAAGGGGCCATACTTGAAATCAAACGTGCTCAGCATGAGCACATACGATAGAATCTTTGGACATTGATGAACTCGGCTGCCGGGCATGGTGACGGACTACGGTGTCTTTAGTGCTCGAGTCGAGTGACAATATTATTACATAACCATATATATATTCTTGAAAAAATTAATTACCTGATCTGGAGAAATTGTTACCGAAAGGTGACAGAAATCCAATAAACCCAAAAGAAGAAGAAGAAGTTGAATATTCTCATCAGTAATGTCGCCCCAGACAGTGAATTATTTGTGATAGGATATCCCATACGAGTACTGTCTATGAAATTCAAATAGATAAAGAACGAGAGGTAAACTGAAGAAGATCGAGATAACCAGTGAGAAAGAGGGAAAATGGGAAAGATGGAGAGTGTTAAAGAAAGAGAGAATGATAGAGGGAATAGAGGAAACCAGAGACAGAGAGTGAGGAAGAGAGATAAAATGAGAAGGCAACTAGAGATGGAGAAAGAGATCGATTCAGAGTAAGGAAGACGAAGAACGAGAGAGAAAAGAACGATTGAGATAGGGAGAACGAGAAAGAGAGAGGGTGAGAGAGAGAGAGATATAGGGGGAGGGGAAAGAGATAGGGGGAGAGTGCTAAAGAGGGAGAGAGAGGGGAGAGAGAAAGAGAGGGGGGGAGGGGGAGAGAAAACTAGGAGAATATAGGAAGAAAGTAAGAAAAAGAAAGAGAGAAATAGGAAGAGAAAGGAAAAGAGAGGAGAAAGAGAGGAATAGGAAGAGAAAGGAAATGCTCTTGAACATTCAGCGTCGGGAGCCAGGATGTATTCATTGGTCGCTTGCAGTGCTGCCAACTCAGCCATTTTGTGGCTAGTTCCAGCCATTTTTCTTCTAGCTACTAAAAATTGCATATCTACTAATTTAGCCATTTTCTCTAGCCATTTTATATTCTGAATTTCTATGAAAATATTTTCATTTTTATAATATTTCCTTAGATAGTTCATTATATTCATGATCTAATCTAAGTCAAATTTAGACCAGTCTGTGTCTCTATGGACTTCTATGTACTCAATACTTTGTGCCATTCTGACCAATTGGGTGCGTTTTTCATTCCAAAATTTTGTCATGCACATGAAGAAACATTGACGTTGACGTCGATGACGTCAACACTTCATGTCATACGTCAACGTCAATACTACTAGAGTCAGTAGAGTCTAGCCCTAGATCTACTAGACTTGAATTTCAATGTCAGAATCGTATTGCATCATCAGATTTCTTGTTTTTGGTAAAAAAATTGCAAAAAATGGCTAGATTAGCCAAAAAATTGCTAAAAGCTAAAAGCTGTTTCGACAGCGGCGCGCTTTCATTTTTAGCCATAATTATTTAGTCTTACTCCAAAAATCATCTAGCCGTTTTTGAAATTGGCTGTTGGCAACACTGGTCGCTTGTTTGCAGTCGGACGAGCGCAACGGGCCCGAATGGCGGCCGTCGCGGCGCAGCAGGTCGGAGGGACCAGGTGGCGGCGGCGGCGGCGGCGTCAGGGGCGGCGCCCACGGGGCGGCCGGCCAGAGGGAAGCGGGGGAGCGCAGGAGGGAGTCGGACCCCGATGTGGAGAATGCTGGCACGGTAATAAGAAGGCTAGGGCGAAGCATATACGTATTAATTAACAATATGGATAACTACCATGGACGTCACTCAGGGAGGGTGGGGGGGGGAACTGCTCCCCCTTCCTTATTTTCCACAATGAATTTAATCCGCTTATATACTTCCTGTAACCGCATAATATACATCATCATTATTGTATCAGTTATATTGAAATTGAAAATAATATATTATTTCAAAATTGTTGGAACATCATACAGTTTAATAGTAGGTAGGTACCTATCTCGGTAGGTGTCATACATGAAATATTCCTGAATAGGGAATCATATTTTCCTAAAATGTTAAAATTATAATAGACCGATCATTAACTTATTTCCTGTTATGAGTGATAGTAGATGGTTGATTCGGATACGATGAAAAAATTGCGTATATCTTGCTCCCAAAAAATTTCGGGATCATCCACCTGCTCGGGAAACCTACTGACACTGAAGACAGTATCCAAAATACTTTTTTATTGCTTTTCTTATTGTTCATATTTCCAGATCATTTTATATCAATTGCAACAAAATGAGAACATGTGACTGAATAATTTATGATATATAATAATGTAATGCGTTGACAGTCTGGAAGAAATATGATTTTCTATTAGGCATTGAATGCATCTGACCTTGAATAACCTCAAAATAATTTCACCTGCGAGTTTCTTGATCCCCCTCCCTGGTATTCACTGAAATGCCCTAATAACAACGGGTGCCAGGTTGAAGGTACCGTGGTAATAATATTCTTCATCATCAAGGTGTATAATGTATATTACATTTTTTTCACCACTAGCAATATATCTGTCAATCAATCATGTTCTGAAATATTGACCTACTGTCACTATGAAAGAACTATCTAGTAGTCATGAACACGACAGCATATCGCAAGTCGTTATTGTTAAATACCTACTTGATTCGAGTTCCATTCCTGCGAATCTCGCAAACAGTGAATTCGGTATAATTATAACATATAGTCTTTATTGACTAGAATTGACGAAAACTACCTCGGTAGAAAAGACACACTTAACTCCTTGAAAAAGAGTAAACAATGGTAGGTTCCATAGCTAGTGGTGGAGAAAAAATATGAATCAAATGATTATCCATAAGCATTTGGTGACATGATGCTCATGCGCAAATATACTAATCATCGGAAATATGCGTTATCGTATGACGTTTACCAGCATTTGAATCAAAGAAGTACGTGTTTTATCGTTTCATAAGGTTATGACATTCTCCACGTTTTGGATTGATAGATATTATGAATTTCCATGGTATATATATTTTCCATCTAAATAACACCCCTGTCTGAACTACTCCTAGATTACACTATTCAACATGAAATAGTCATCCTAGCCGTTACCATCGAGACAATATCCTAGCCCATTTGAAAATGTGCTTATATTGCAGTAGTAGTTGGAATGAAAGGAATAATAATAATAATAAAAATGTTTATTGAAGTACAAAATAACAAAAACACATGTGTTTCTTCAAAAGGCAAACAGTTGGCAAGACATTTTTCATATTTGCCTTGGGTGATCCATAACATATGATGGATAATTCCTTCCTTCCAAACTATTGACTAGGTGAGTGTACCCTGCCGATACGATGTGATGATAACCAAGGTGATAACCATATAATGATGACTAGTCTACCATTAACAAAGAAATACTTAATCTTAGATATTGCATCAGCATTTTCAATGAATTCGTCCTGTTGAAGCAATAAAATAAACATAAATATTTTATAGCAAGTATACTGGAAAAGAAAATTGGAATAGGATGTCATTAGGTATTTTAGATCTTTGTTAGATTTCACGATGATGTGACTGTCATTTGAACTTGCGCATTTGAGAATGTGCAGTGTAATCACCGTATGCTTATGGATAGTCATTTGTCTTCAAAACACGGTATCCTTTTGCGCTATGGAAAAAGATAAGAGCTTATCCATATTGTTAATTAATACGTATATGGGGCGAAGGGACATCTTGGTTGGATGACGATGAGGTGACGAGAGACGGCTATTTTTGGTTGGGGTGGCATGGGCAACGAGCAGTGTTGTTCAATGATTGGTCCGAGAGTTTACTCATTGCTGAAAGTGATTCTATCACGAGTTCCAAAGTGTTGTTAGGTACTTTGATCTTGGTGTTCTAATTTTATATTTTCATTCATACATTTATTGTTACCCCCTTCGAATGGAACCACCCCTTTATATATTTTCTATCTCTAGTTCTACTGGAACTCGAGGATTCATGACTTGTAAATATTTAAACTATTTTTGCAAGTCACACTCTATGATTCTTTTTCTAGACTGAAACATCGTATTTGCGATATAACATCTACAAATTTTCCAGTTTGGGATGTGTTTGCAAACTGAAAACTGCAGGCAAATTTCAAAAATCCATTCTCTACTGGAAATCACATTGTATTAAAGAATCATCCATACTCTCATAGACATGAAATATTGTGACAATAAATATTGTTTCAATGAATATTCGTAAAAGTCTTGACGGCTTCTGAATCCAGTGGTGTGTTTTCCAAAAAAATTCTGAAATTATAAGAAAGAAAGATTTTACATGGTTGGAGGTCATACTGCATGTACTTGTAAATGTGAAAATAAAATTAAGACGCTCCTGTATGTATGTATCAGGAGGTGCTTTCCACTTTTTTTTATCTGTGTTGTGATTTTGTAGTTAGTAATAGTAATAGATTACATTGACATTTGGAATGTCGATTGAAAATTATGTCTACTCAGAATTGGCAGAATGACAGAAATAAAAAAAATTCAAAGTGATGAATAGGTACTCCGCAATTTTCTGTTACCCAAATGATAGAATTAAACTTTCCAACTCAGGTGTATGAACAGGCAAAAGTGTTTTGTGGCCATGTCTAGTAATTCATGGTACAAATTTTTATCAACTTCTTCCCATATTATTAGATATCTGTAGAGTCGATAGGTATAGGTGCCTACTCTTTATAGAACTTCATCGAAGACTGTATATAATGATCACACACCAATGTTTTTTCCTACTTCTGAATCTTTATTTACAATCGAATGACCTCAAATCCTTGTAACTTCTGATAAGGATAAACAGGGACAGTGATTTCAAGTCAGAAATATCAACTTAAATGGATACACGATAATGAGCTGAAGCCATTGAAATAAATAAAAAATACATATTTGAAGCAACAAATGCATCAAATAGATCAAAATGCGACCAAATTTGGTTATCATGAAAATAACTTTAGATTCGCCCCAATACTTCTATGTTCAATACAATAATATATTATATCATACGTTTTCGTGATAAGGATCCTTAATTGAATGATGATTTGTGGCTTGATGGATGACAATGCTACCTTATTGTATTCATACCAAAAATAGCCGTCAATATGTTCGAAATTTCCGATTCATTAAATGATTAAATGTCAGACAATCTCGATTTCTTCGTCATCTAATATACCTAGTCTCAAGATGTTTTTTCGCAATCCATAGGGAGAGATTCCTATTTCCAAATTATCTTCTTTGTGGTTCTATATAGGATTGTTAAACCAGTATTCTTCCCAGGAGCTATCAGAACAAAGATAACCTTCAAAATTTTAGGAAGTCTGACTAGTACTGAAACAAAAGCACAATTTACTGATTAGAATTACCTCTTCTGATATGGCTTTGTATCAAAAAAATAAAATTTTGAATTGCATAACAATATTTTGAAAAACGTGACGACCTTTTGTCATAATAGTTTCATTGAAAGAGGCGCGTTCCCAACACTTCATTTTTCCACACAACTTTGTCACATTCTATGTGTGTTAGTGTTGGGGGACAAAACCACTAAGAACACTAACGATTTTATTCATTAGTAATATATTTAGTGGTTTTGTCGGTCCTCAACCAATTTGAATGCACTTTTTACAAAATTACATAATTATACAGTATGTTCCAAAGATAAATTTCCATTATTTGATAGGAAGAGTCCCAGAAAGTTACCAGGCGATGAATCCATTTAGAAGAAATTAATAGATGATCAAACAATACTTCTATATTGACACCGTAACTATCCTGGAGTATCATATGAATAGTGCAAGGTCTCCTAATATGAAATACCTACATTTTGTGTCATGTAGCAAATATCCCAATATGGATTATTCTCCTAATTTGGGATATCATTGATTTCATAAATTTTTTGTTCTGAATTACTTTTACACTCAGAAAATACCCTTATACAGGGTGTTTCAAAAAAAGGTGGCTTCCTTGCTAGAGTAGGTAGAAAACTGCAAAATAAGTTGGGTTTGCTCATTAAAAAAAATCCGTTTTCAAGATACAAAGGTGTTGAAAAAAATATGTTCATACACATTTTTCACGATTATATCGAAATTACTGGCAACATTGTAATGAAATTTTGGATGAATATGTTCTGGAAGCTGACACATCGTATGCAATTGTTTTCAAATGTGACTGACTCATAGATGGCGCTAGTTACACGGTTCTTACCGAGTAAGGTTATATTCTTCAGTCCAAAGTTCATTTGAACTCGAACATCATTAAATTCAACACCGAAAAGGTACTCCTGATGGAACTCAATACTGTGTACCGTTTTTGCAATATTTTGATTTGAAGATAATGGAGTCGTTATGGTAAAAATAAGTTTTATTGAGATCAATTACCTATTCATTCAGATTGAAAAACAATAACATTATTGTTATGATGAAGTTATTGATTAAACAAAGAACAACAAGTAGAAAATTGAGATGAATTTGACTAAAAAACATAAAATACTGAATCAGTTATAGTAAGTGATCTGAATATCCTCACGTTCCACGAATACACGAGATTCTATATTTTTTTCATAAGAATGAATTATTCTTCTAAACGGTCTAGGATCAGAGCTGTTAGGTCATTTAATTGATGTTCAATTTTGTCTTGCAACTCTGCTTGTCTTGAATTTACCTCTGTAGCATATATACTGTTTCCTTAAGATACAACCAAACTGTGTAATCTAAACGGTACACAGTACCAAGTTTTAGCAAGAATACCTTGTTGGTGTAAAATTGAATAATGTTCAAGTTCACATTAGATTTAAATTGAAAAAATTTTATGTACATACAAACAAATATTCATCCGGTGTGTCAGCTTCCAGAACAAATCCACACAAAATTGTACAACTATGTTTTATAACAACAGTAATTTCGTCATAATAAAAAAAAATTGTCGAAAAATCGTTTCCTCAACAGCTCAACACCTTGTATCTTGATAATGGATGTCGTTACGACATTTTATTACTGAGCAAACCCAACTTATTCTTCAGTGTTCTACCTACCCTAGTAAGGGGGTCACCTTTTTTTGAAATATCCTCTGTATATAGTTCAAAAGTAGGTATATTTTGTTTATATTAGATGGTCATTTACGTTGTTCAAATATTGCCAATGTACTTAGGAATTGTTCGAATAAATCTTGGAACACTCTGTATATCTGTCAAACCCAGGGTGTGATTGTATTGCAGAATCAAAAATCGGAAAAAGCAACATAATATGCTGCTACACCAAAAATGAGGGTAGCCTTATCGTTTCCTGTCAAGATCTGAGTACTATCAACGAATAATAATTAATGCTCTTGGTCTGTGTGTTATCTTAGAGAGATAGATCGCATATTTACACTATGAGCAAGTAAATGGTTGGACTTTCAAGTAAGAAGTCGTAAATATCTCTTCACTTCATCGGTGCAAGTATTGGTCCGAATAGCGCCAGTTTATGTTGCTTTAATTGAGATAACTATACCATCACACTCTGCCGTCATTCATGCTATCTTCCATGTTTCTAGAATCATTGCATTCAAATGGTCGATGATTTCCTTGAAATACACAGGTAATACATCTGGTATGTTTTAGGAAAGAGACGGGAGTCTCATAAGAAAAGCAATTTCAAAACTTAGTACTGAATATAGACTGCAATTTACTTGGCCTCAGGGACACACTTCTCGACGGGACGCTGCCGGGTCCACGCCGAGGAAGTCTCACTCTATGGGTGCTCTGAAGGCGAGAGCTCAAGCCAATGCGATGGTCCACAAGAAGAGGATTGATATGGAAAACAGAGATGGTAATTTTAGTTTCAATATTGGCTCTAGCTATATTGATCCCAGACCAGAATACTTTGGGATCCCTACATTCAATATTCATAGATTACAATTAATAGTTCATTGGACATTTTATCAACTACTATCCACTCTCCAAGAAGCATGATTGTGATACTTCTGAATAATGCTCGTCATGGTATTAGGTGAAGCTCTAATCTTCAATAGAAATATGTTTGTTTTTCAATTGATAGATATCTATTATTCTGTAAACTCGAAGAAATACGGGTCATAAAATTACATGAAATAACGTTTGGAAACCTGTTCACGACTTCAAATCCGCGACATCAAATCCGCCCGACAGTATGTCCGTAGCCGTATGTCCTTGTTATTGTATCCGCATAATGTCAATGGCTATATGCATCATTCTGTTTTCTATCACTTCTCCTCACCTATTTGTATACATCACAGACTTCACGAAGAAAATTAGCACCCGACACAGGTGTCTTTGGCGAATTTCAAGGTCATCATTTAACGTTTTGAGATGACGTTTAGCAATGAGGAAAATATTTCTAGCACCAGGCATTGATTGAAAGTCAGACATGTTTTCCCTATTGCTAAATGTCATCGTAACGTTAACTGATGACTTTGAAATCGACCAATACCCGATATCTGCGAGAGGCAATTTGTTCTTCATAGAAATAATTTTTCAAGTAAGCGAATCTACAGCGAGCTGTGTGGTATATTTTTTTGTTCGCAAGTAATCTTCCGAAAAATATGTGGTGGGTAGTTAGGTACCAACTTGTATTCTATAATGTGATCAAACGAGGTCCTCTCAATGATCTCTCTCGTGATAGAGTGGTGACGAATGTTGTTAACTGCGAATTTAAATTTTGTACATTATCTATGGGACTCATGGTTTGAGGAATAATGAAGAAAGTTTGCGATGGCATTGGAAGAATCCCTCAACAAAAACTCGAAATTCAGTTTCTGCCAGCTGTTATACTGTTGGAAATTCCACATCAGATCAGTACCTATCTGCCTCTTTCATCTAGCATGTTTTGTCTACTTCTAAATGATAACACGATCAGCCACTGTAATTTTCCTGATTTTTCTCCAAAGCTGTGGCATCATAATCACTATATTTCCGCTTCTCAAATTGACTAACGAATTATATATCGTAGCCAGTGAATTGGAACCATTGGTAGGCGAGAGATGCAGCCAAGAAAAGTCCAAACAGGAGTCCCATAGCGAATACCAGAAGAAATTTAGGCCATTTTCTCAGTATGAATATTCAGGAGGGGCCTTCACAACAAAAGAAAACCCCAAGCCTCCGGCAGACGAGTTTGACAAGAAGTTCATTGTGGATAACGAGAAGGACGGATCATGGTACAGAGAGGTCGTAGAGTTGCGCAAAAAAGCTGGGGAATACAAGGTGAGTTGGGTTTGTTGATGACATATATAGAGACACAAAATATCTTTTTTATAATAGCATCGAGGATGGGGTAGTGATCTAACACCAGATAGAGTACATGATATTTACAATAAGCAAATTGAACTGTGGGATCAGGTGTCAAGAAGGAGTTCTCTGTCTGCTTTATCACTAGCTTCCATGGCCCACAAAACCTATACTAAAGAAGAAAAAGAAGATGACAATAACAGAAAAAGTTCTCCCACTAAAGCTTATCGCAACGCCGAAAATTCTGCTAGAATGATTAGGGATATCATTAAACACCATTTAGAGAAAACAACAGGGGGTTCAGGTATTATTATTTCGAAACTATATGATGTTGTGTTTAGCTTCACGAATTTTTTATTCAGAATATGAGGGATTGATCTGGTCACCAACGCGAGATAAGCTAGAACCTACAATCCCAAGAAAAGATGACGATTCTAGAGGTTCCCAAAAAAATAGTCCCAAGAAAAGTTCACCAATGAAATCGTCTTCCCTCAAAAGGACTAATCAAAGAGCTAAACAAGGTGGGCTTGAAAATTTGACTGACTCATGACAGGCTGCTTATGTTTGTTATAATCACTACTCCGAGTGATTTTTGGAGTGTACACTTTTTCTGTTCTGAATTTTTAGTACGGTCGCAATCAGTAGGGCCTACACCTGACAGTAATGTCGAAAAACGGTCGCCGAAACGTCAATCTAGATCAACAACAGCTAAAGATGGAAGAAAATCGTCTACTGAAACGCCTACAAATAAAAGACCAAGACCTTGTAAGCCTCAAGTTATATGGGCTACCCAACATTTGAAACAGCGGTTTTTCGTTGAATTGCATCAGACATTAGAAGCTAGTATACATAGTACATATAGTACCGTAATCTAGAGGTTATGTAGATATATGTTTGACTGTTTCAAATTTGGGTGGTATGAACCTAATACAGTGTGTGCCAAGACTCGTGGTATCGCTTTTGGCTATTTGGTTTTTGAACACATTCTGCTTTCCTTGTCATTTTATCCAGTACCTTGATGTAGTTCCGAGAATGTATGTGCTTCACCATAAATATAATCATTTTTTTATATTGTCATTTGATAAATAAACTGCCAACTAATAAATATGCTTTGTTGTTTCAGGAACTATCATTCTTGTCTAGTACAAACTGTACTAAATATAAAATTATTTCAATTCCATCAATGAATATTTCTCATCAAATTTCGAATTCCCAATATTTACTTTCAAGAAACTGTTATCTTTAGGGTGTCCCATGAATAGTCGATGATAATCCGTCAACTTTTTCTAAAGATGTCCTTAACCTTTCAGAAAACAAATAATTATGGTGAAAGAGGTGCAATACTAGCTATAAAAAATGAATTGCGCATCTAGTATATGTTATTGATTGTCATTCCCATATTTAGTGATTATTGTGGTTCTGTCAAAATTCATCAGATTTCAATAAATGTTGCCTCCACTCTTTTACTACTCTTATTAGTATGAGGTTAAATAGCGTGCAAAATGTATGGAACTTGACTTGCCGTATGCTTCGGAAAGTTCAAATTTTCAGAAAATAATGAATTTTTAAAACAGTAATGCCACAAAAACTCTCACAGTTCTTCGTAAATCAAAACTTCATCATGATTTTTGTGTTCTCATCTTTTCATACATATGAGTAATTCACAAATAAAAAATATTTTTCATCATGGAGTCTTCAATCAACGTTGACCTGTTATCTACTGTTAACGGGACACTGCCTATTGCAAAAACATATATCTAGATTCTAGAAGTTCAATCTGAAATCTAGATAGTAAAACATTTTTTCAATCTTCCTGGTTTCGATTATTGGTGGAAAATGGCATTGTCTATTACAGAGACGTATGATTGTGAAATATCCTATGTGTATTTTGCTTAGAAAGATGATTATAAGTGGATGGTATGCTTTGATTTAATTTTGTTTAGTTTTGACACTGAATGGGCGTTTGTCTGTGCGAAATTGTATTATTGTAAGAAATGTTACGGTTTTTAGCATCCCTCAACACCACTGTCTCATCCCGATCTAAATCCAGTTCGGTAGTAACAAAAAATGAGGATGACAGATTGGCCAAACCATTGCAAAATCATAACAAATTGCAAAGTGTAGATTCATCTAAGAATAATCAAAAAGTAGCCACTAAAGATAGAAAAGGAAGTAATGAAGGTAAGAATACGTATTTGGCACGACCCTTGGCACACGCAAAAATGTGTTTCAGAAATATCACCTGAATGTTCAATAGGTGTCAATCGGTGTTAAGGATTGAACTACTAAAAACCTAATAAGGATATCGAAATATATACTCAACTGAAGCTAACATTTCAAATTAATTTATTCTGATAAGTTCGTTTTACTTTGTTGTCATAGAGAATTCATTTTCTATGCAGTAGGTTCTCGATGAATTATTGTTATGCACAAGTTCCTTAAATTTGGCTTATATGTACAGTATGGTATTGAAAAATCACCAGGAAAATTTTCAGAACTTCCTTTCTTTGAAGGATTCAGAATGTCTAATTCTAGCTACATATATCTCCATATTCATTATTCAGGTTCAAGTAATTCATTTATTTATAAGTTTATCTCTCTTTACTCACCTATATCGCATCATCCAGGACCACTCTCATTCTCGAAACCATCCAAATACATTTTTGAAGTTTTTCAATTTCAAGCATGCAATCACACCACTGCACTTCATGTTATCATTTACCAAACCAGAATAATTCAAATGGTGCTGGAACAGTCTAGAAACATTATGCTGCTGCTTCTAGCTTATAGAATCTCAAATTTCGCTCTTCTCTCTCTATTCTACAAATTTTTTGATAAAATATCAATATGGCCCATACTTTACCATTACTTTAGCCGATCAAGCGAAAACAGACAACACACCTTCGGTGGCGAAAGATATTTCTACATATGAAGAGCACGACAGCATCACCTATGAACCTCTCATTAAGTCGCCTCCTGAGCCTACTAGAGTGAAATCTCCCGAACAGATCATAATGCGTTCTCCTGATCCAGTCAACTGGACAGTGCCTTTGGATACTGGAAAAACGTTCACTGTCACACAAAATGTCAGAGAAGGTCAGTACCTACCTAAATATTGAGCTTCTTTATCTATCCTACTTATATGGGGTGAATCAATACCTTTTAACGTGTCAGAAAAATTGATGAATCCTATAGTTATACAAGATGTTATGGATTTGATATAAAGCAATATTTATTTGGAAACTAGCCATTTTTTCGAAAACGCAAAAGATTATTCATTTTCATGAACTCTCTCATTGAAATTTTATTTAATAATCACAATGATTATGCATGAAACCGATGAGAAAAATCGCTATGTGATCATTTTGTACATTCACGTAGTGTATGTAGTGTGGTGACAACGTTACAGTTTTGGTGCGTTAGTAGTCAAGGATTAAGAATTCTTATTTGTACAGAAAGATTCCTTATTTGATCTCCATTTTTCCGCGTAATGATTTTATCAATAGTTTCGTTGGTTTAATCAGAGTTGGGATGGCCTAGTACACTTACTGAATATCTTGTCCTCATTTTATTCTCAGACATTTCGAAATTTAGTTGTCACCTCATACAGAGTGATACACTTATGATGAAGACACAAGGGTGTCAGGTCATTTTTGAAAGCAGAGATTTGATTCTTGGTGCAGATGTCCTTCATGGACCGAACTTAGCCTTAAACCACAATTTAGAGAATATTATATCTAATCTAAATCTAAATATTATATCTAATATTCTCTAAACTGTGCTTAAACCCAGCCTACTGCGATTCCGCGAAAAGGGCAAATTCTCGATCGGTTGCTTTGTTTAGGAGATAATCAGTTACTTGAAAAAGTGGCTTAGAAATTAATTTTGACCCTACATACCGACTGTCAACGCAGAATTCGAATTTTCCTATTCAAGTCCGATTTTTGATGAATGGTTCTGAATAAGAAGTTATAGAAATGATGAAATAGTCGGAATCAATGGAATCAATAACTAAAATTGAAAATTATTACTTTATCAAATGGTTAATCTAATTTAATCTTCTTTTATAGCCTATCTCTCAAAATTCAAAAATTCGTTTTTGCGTTTAAATTTGGAATATAGGTTTTTTTTGCAATTGCATTACCTCGTTGGTCCCAGCACTGGAACCAAACGCCCCATAAGTCGAAACTTGTGCGGGGTTGGGTAAGCATACATACACAAACATCCATGGCCTAACTAAGATTCGAACCTATGTCTCGGTGGGAGTCCCCATACGAACTCAGCGCCTTCACGCTCTCGACCACCGAGCACCGGTTAGAATCGATTTCTAAGCAACTTTTCCAAGTACCCTTTCTCGGTATCTCCAACGCGAAGCAAAATATCGAGAATTCGCCCTTTCAGCAGGATCGCAGTAGGCTGGGTTCAAGGCTGTCACTCATCAGGCTGATTATTTCGAAAACTGCGGCCCATCAAGATCTACGTCTGTACCAAAAATAAAATATCTGCTAGAAATGACTGAAATACAGGGGTGTGTTTATCTTAAGAGTATCACACTGTATATCAGAAATTCACAACCCTGATATGTAGTTGAAGAGCCCGGTGCAAAAACCGGTCAGCTCCGTTTTTCATAATTCGTGGAAAATCGATAAAAACTGCAAAAACGAAATTTGAGATTTTTTTTTCCACACAAATTTTGCTCATCAAGTAGAGGGATATTCTGATCATTTCACAACGACAAGAAGATACATCTTCTCAAGGACATATTACAAAAAAAAATTGAATATCCAGGAGATGACCGTTTCTTGCACCGGACACAATCAAGCGAAATGTTCATTTATTGTGAAATAAAAACGATTACAAGCAAGCTTTAAAGAAATCAGACTTAGACCTGGGATATCAGATGAATCCGAAGGCACATATATATTGGCAAATGAATCCTTGTCGCGACTAAAATCACTGTCCATGACAATGTATTTGATTAGTTTGGTTACGTTCTACTTTTTCACATCATATTGTGAAGGAATATAACATACATATATATTCAATATAAAGTCAGGCAATAACATAAACAAAATGTAGGTTACAGAATATATACAGTGCTACCCCTCTACCTAACTCGTTACGGGACTCTTGTTAGTAAAATCGCCGAGACCCGTCGATTTTTGATTTCTAAAGTGTACATTTTCTAATTTCATCCCTTACTGGAGGGAACCAACCCTGTCAAAAAATTCAAATAGCATGGGGTGGTGAGTGATAGCTCATCTGAAATTTCAATTTCTTTGCACGGTTGAATAGAGAATAAAACCCCCTTTCAAATGAGCAATCACTCACCACCCCATGATATTTAAAATTTTTGACAGTTTTGCTACCCTCCAGTGAGGAATGAAATAAGGAGTGAACTATTCCTACGACGGGTATTGGCGATTTTCCTAACCAGAGTCCAGTGACGAGTTAGATAAGGAGGGTAACATTTATAAAATACTAAATGGGAGAGTGACTGGAGTATTTCCAATTTCATGTCAAGTCCAAATAACTACTTTGTGTTGTTGACCGGTTTTTGTACCGGATCCTTCAATTACAATTTGAAGAGAAGATAGTAATATCGGTGTCGGTTATTATTTCAGGTGATATAGGTACTAGACCTCACAGCGAAGTGAAGGCTTGGACTCCGCCAGAAGTTCCGCCTCCAGTGGCCCAATCTGCTCCTCCCACCCTCACCGAACAGTCTAAGGCTCACGTGGGCTTTTCCTAATGAGACCTGAGTTCTGCTTTCCCCAATCCATTCGGTTAATATTGCTTTATGTATGGATATGTCAGAACAAGTATGAACTCGGACAATGGCCGGCCCATTGCTGCACAGGTTAGTTTCTATAGGGCGAAGCTCATCGCAAAATTGCTAAGGAGTGAATGATTCATAAATCCACTTTTCTTTTTCAGGATAGATCCCTTTTCAATGGTACTGAACTTGAAGGATACTAAGAGTTTTTCATTCGAGATAGCAGTGTAGTCAGTGAATTTTGAGAAGAAGCCTGTGCAAATCAACAGGGTAGTAGCCAGAAACTTTCTGATTGCTGTTCAACATGATTTTTTTTGTGAATCTCACCGTGCTGCATCTTTGTAAAGACCAATTTCAATATGAAAATGTATCATGGTCATTATCCTTGTTTAGCCACTTTGAAGCTCAGCTTACCCACTTTTTTATCAATCAATGGTAGTTCAGTATATTTAGGGATATATGTGTGATAAACCAAATGATAAAATGTTTCCTATCAAATATTCCTAGTAGGTTCCAGATGCTTACATAATGATCCATGTTTAATCTGAATCAGACGTTTCATATCTAGAAATTTACAATACTCGATTAGCTTTACAGTCTAGGACATATTCATTGTCCACTAGTTTGGGGAAAAACTCATTCTTAGCGATTTTTTTGCTATTGCTCTAAAATTTGGAAATGTATTGATATAATATGCCATCATCACTACATGAATTTCTTTTTATCGCCTGCTTTCCTAAAACTGCAGAATTGTGCAACAAACAAAATCATCTCCTTAATAAGTCCGAATGACTGGACGTATTTTCTTTCGAAATGTTTTCAACTAACAAAATGTGAATCATTTCCAAGTTTATATGATACCCAGGATATTGCTATCTAGGAAATAAATTGAAATTCTCTAAATATTTCATTGAACGTCATACTTGAGATATACTTTTGCTAGTCATGATTATATTCAATGATCTTTCGGTTTCAAAGCAACTTTGCGGATTTTTTCTAAATATACTGGTCTACAAGTGCTTACATTTGTTCCATGCGTCCATCAAACCAAGTCCGTCATCAACTTTGCAGGAATATTTCATTTCAAATTCCTTCGCCAGGTCACCAGACGTCCTATTTTTTACAAGAAAAATGTAAACGATCTCTCTCCAGTGCACTGTTCCGCTATGGAAATTGGGAAAAACTAATATAATATTGATATACTTATATTTTGTGTAGATGAGTTTGCTTGCAAGTTTTTATTGATTTAGTGTACATCGAACGCACTTGTAAAATTATTTTAGTGATCCAAGAGTTATACATATATATATATACATATTGTGTTAATCAAATTGTGTTTCATGTTCCACCTTCCTTCTATACCAACCACTTTCAGTGCCTTCTGGGTTTTGTCAACATTATTTATAAAATTCAATTCTTTGAACATTAATGAGACTAGAATATTCGGAGATAATGATATTTACCAAAGATGATCATAATTACAATTTTTAGTTCTTTGAATTCTCAAGAGATGGCGCCACATCTCACCAATAAAATGTTTCTGGGAAATTATATAAACCGATCATTTTGTGAGGGATGAGATTTGAATGTAAATAGTGGAATTGTTCCTGATATTGGCGCCACCTTCGACGAGAAATATTGAAAAATCCGAGTGAAATCCCACACATACCCTATCTTCGACGGGAAACTGAAACACTGTCGACCAAAAAAATAGACGAAATTGCGCGATTTTCAGTTACTTTGAAATGCCGATAGATGGCGCCACTTACATGTTTCACACAGTCACCGTTAGATCGTCTATATGAGAAATCTTCTCATTAAGGGTCCTCGACGAGAAAATTCTTCTCTCTAGTTCAGTAAATATCACTATCAGCACGAAATATTTTTGACTTGGTCACGCAACCATCCTCCCCAACCGACCGGCCATATAAAATTTTCACTGCTCATACAGTGTGTCCCGCTTTTCATGAATACACCCTGATATCTCAGTTATTAATGATGCGATTCTCTTGAAATTTTTGTAGTGATTGTATTGTACCAGGTGATTCAATAAGGGTGGCGAGGTACTGTATCTCAGAAACTAATAGTCTATTAAACACGCCCCTTTGCGAGGGCGGTAAGAACCCCAGAATGACATGTATGATTTTTTATTTCATTCGTCAAACATTCCTTTCTTGATACAGGCCTTGTTGGCAAAATTCTTAGCTCCTCAGATACAGAATCTCGTCATCCTTATTGAATCACCTGGTACAAAAAAGGCCGTTATCTGGGAAAAGGATATCATTTTAAATAACTTTTTTATCAGATTCATAATCAGCATCCCCAAAAACCCCCACTTCATATTTTCAAGATGCCAAGAGCTAAAATAAAATATTTCAATATTCTGATTTTCATGAATAGACCCTTGAATGTCAGCTATCAACGATGCGATTTTCTTGAAATTTTGATGGTGATTGTATGTTAAAAAAATAACATACAATCACCATCGCAGTTTCGAGAAAATCGCATCATTAATAACTGAGATTTTGGGGCGTAGCCATGGAAAGCAGGATTTTGAATTTTTCTTGAGATTTCGAAAATATGAATTGGGTGTTTTGGGGATGCTGATTCTGAATCTGATGAAAACAGTTATTTAAAATAAGCCCTTATATCCTTTTTCCGAATAATGGCCTTCTTTGTGCCCCTCAACATTGCACGCCAATGGTGAATGAAACTGTTCACTCTGCTAAAAACTTGTTCTAAAATACAATCGCCACTAAAATTTCAAGATAATAGCATCAGAGATATCAGGGTGTATTCATGAAAAGCGGAACACACTGTATAGCTTGTCGTCTGATCGGTATCTGGGTTGCTTCAACAAAAATCTTTCTTACTGATGCTGATATCAATGACATTTTTCATTGAACAATTATTGGAAATAAAATTCTAGTTCCAGAAAAATCCGATAGATGGCGCCATTTACAATCTGTCGATACCGATCGGATGACAAGCTATATATCTAATCTAAGATTGTCGTCCAAATGATGTCTTGTAGCGGAAGCGGGAACACCCTGTGACGTCGAGTTGGTTTCTTATCGAGGATGTTCAAATAACATAAGGAATAGGAGTTGTCAAGGAAAAAATCTTTCTTACTGATGCTAATATCAATGACATTTTTCATTGAACAATTATTGGAAATAAAATTCTAGTTCCAGAAAAATCCGATAGATGGCGCCATTTACAACCTCTCGATACCGATCGGATGACAAGCTATATATCTAATCTAAGATTGTCGTCCAAATGATGTCTTGTAGCGGAAGCGGGAACACCCTGTGACGTCGAGTTGGTTTCTTATCGAGGATGTTCAAATAACATAAGGAATAGGAGTTGTCAAGGAGTCAGTCAATAATTGTGATATTGGAATTTTTGACTGATTCCTTGACAACTCCTATTCCTTATGTTATTTGAACATCCTCGATAAGAAACCAACTCGACGTCACAGGGTGTTCCCGCTTCCGCTACAGTCTACATGTTAATGGCGCCATCTATCGGATTTTACTGGAACAAGATTGTTCTCGTTTCTCCAATATTAGTTGAATGAACGATGCCACTAGTGTAGCAGACACTCAGACAGTGAGATAGATTCAGTTAAGGCTCTTACACAATCCTAAAACGTAGGACACAAGGCGTATGACGTAAGGCGTAAGTTTTTTCGGTATCATGAAAATAGAGGAAGAAATACACAATGCTTATGCAATACCGTAAGATTTACGTATGAGGCATGGTAGCTTACAGTAAGAATGGAATTTTTCATAAAAAACATCCTTAAAATTGACGTATTTGACGTATTGTAACCGAATCTAACCTAACTAAATGATTGATGATGGGTTTGTTGTTATAATAAACAATAAACACACCAGTGTTCATAAGATTGTGATCAGATAATAAGGTAAGAACAAAATGCATCCGTTTCTGAGATGCTTACGCTCATGTTTGACGGCATTGTGTTATTGGAATATTTTCTCAAGTTGACGAATTTCTTATGCAGTCTTATGCCATACGTCTTATGTCTTACGTTTCTGCATTGTGTAAGATCCTTAACATGATTCATCAGATGGTGGATGCCGGATGGTAGACTAACAGATCCTATCCCTATCTATGATCAGGATACAACGGGATCTCCTGGATCCAACCGTCCGCGACAAAATATTGATGGCTTATATAGATCTTCGGCTGATCAAGGTCTGGAACATGTTAGTGACGCGATCTATCGGCGACGTCTACTATGGAGCAGTTCAGAACATTAAAAAACAGAAAAATAACTATTGGACTATTTATGCCATTACAAAATAGCAATCATAAACTATATATAATATATAGGCATATAACATGAAAATAGTCATAAATAAAAAAAGTAATACAAATACATACAAGATGGGTATTGCACAGAAGATATGTAGGAATGCTAGCAGTTCGGGTCGCCGAGGGAAGACACTGTTGACACAGTCGATGGCGTCCCTGTCCCCGAGCTGAACTTCTGATCCCCATCGCAAATGTATTTGCCGGATACGAAGCGCCTCTTGACCAGAGACAGCCTATAGCCGGTCCCCATCAGTTGAAAATCGATTCCCGATAGGGTCGTGCCTTCGCAGTTGAACTGTGTCGAAACAGTTTGCGGGGTGCCGGGGCCATTTTCCAAATCATACCTTGCTGCCACAGATCCTACCCCGTGGTTCTCGGAATGCTGGGATAACTCTGTGAACTTCCATATGATCCTGCTGTTTTCTCTAGGCCTGAAATAAGGAAACATTAGATATATCTTAAATGAATACAAATAAGTTCAGTCATTTCCACAAATGTTCATGAAATGAACAACAATGGTAGATGACGGGAAAAAGACAACTACTTTCCTGGCTAATACCACGGAGAACATTGAATTTCATGCTCCCGAAATCTATGCATCGACTCGTATAAACGAATAATTAATGCAAGTGTTTCTTTCCCTAATGCTGATTGATTTCGATTCAGCCTAGTCTTGTGTATTTGGTAAATGAACTAGTTCAAAAGAGCGCTTCCCGAAGTGAACTACGCCAACGTTCTAAAATTGTGCTAAAATTGTTCTATCCGTCCTTCGGTTGCCCCCTTACGAGCAACCCTCAGAAGTCTTCGAGAGACTTGTGCGAGCAAGGAATGACGGGGGCCTTACCTTTTAACTTGTGATCCTAAACACTTTCTCGGGCCATCAGGAAAATATCTGCAGTCGCGGGAATTGAACCCAAGACCAGCAAGCGAATGCGGATTAGAATACTGACACTCTGTCCGCACGGCTACCTGACTCCTAGTCAGCTGTCATTCTTGGTTTCAGTTCCTTATAGTGAATTCATTCAATAAAACTGGCTCGCACTGACTGCATATTTCGTATTCCATTGGTTAAACTGGTGGCATGTTTTGAATTCGATTGGAAAACTGGTGCACTCAGTTTAGAGCTCAGTGCAACAATTCTCGCATGACCTCTAATAGATTCTGCGAAGTCAGTGCAGTTTTGAAAGTGGCGGAATCATTCAAAAATGAATAGTTTGAAAGGCAAATTTTAGTGGCAATCTCATCATCATCATCATCAAATAGTGAAGAATAAATACCACTGTGAAAATACTGCCTACTTGTGAATTTCAAAAACATGTTCGCTGCCACTACTGGTAATGTAATTATATCTTCTCATTTAGTTGAAATGCTATTACATAAATTCGATCCACATTTTTTTTTACTTTCCTAAAGACCAATTCGATATAAATTCAATAGGCCTCTTCGTTTGTATTGCTGAACTTGCTAAAGTTGATTTTTTCCCCATAGTTGTCTCTGTTCATGGCATGAACAGAGAAAATCATAGAAAAAAATCAAGCTCAGCAGATAGAGCAAGTAAAAACGAACGGTCTATTGTAATAAACAGAAACAAACCAACTTAAACTTAACTTAACCTGTAAGAACAATTTCATCATCTTATTACGTATTCCAGTTCACATTATGGAGAAAACCAACGTAGCGCATGTGCAAAACTAGTGCACCGCCAGGTTTACGAACTAGAAGAGCGAACTAGTTCGCCATTGGAGAACGAACTAAATTGTGCGATCTCTAAAGTGAAATAAAATGTCCCACACTAATTTAGCCACGTTAACGACAAGGACACCTACAGACCGGTTACGATCTTCTTTGGCTCTCATCAGTGCAGGGTAGTCTCCAGCTAGCAGTCCGAAGACTGCCGGCTGAGCGTAGCCTGGCCATAACTAGCGTCTGCGGACAGGCGCAAGTAATAACTCCCTGGTAGGGGAACGTTAGTTAACTTGTGTCGAGTCTAATATAAGGAAGGAATTTTTTTTTAACAATCAATCGACCTAGATGAACCTTTTTTCTTGAAGAAGGAGAATTTTTCTTGAGGAAGGAAAATATTGTTTCTGCATAAAAAATGAGAAAACCTAACCTATCTATTTTATGAGTATATCTGTACTTGTTTCGTTGACCTGTGTAAAACTTGATGTTTATTAACACCAAATAAAATATTCTAGAAGGAGAATTTTTCTTGAGGAAGGAAAATATTGTTCCTGCATAAAAAATGAGAAAACCTAACCTATCTATTTTATGAGTATATCTGTACTTGTTTCGTTGACTTGTGTAAAACTCAATGTTTATTAACACCAAATAAAATATTCTATTCTATTCTATTCTAACCTAAACTAACCGAACCTCACCTCTGGCCTAAACATAGAAAACCCCTAAATGAACCTATTTCCCATAGAGAATATTTTTTAGAAATCACTTGAGAACAAGAAGAAAATAAAAAAAAGATGAGCCTCGCACGGATTCGAACCACGGCCCGCCGGCTTGGCATGCCGATGCTCTGCTTACTGAGCCAACCAATTGCTTACGAGACGAAGTATGATGAATTCATTCAGTCGGCGCCGCATAACGCCAGTCGCATCTACTGCCCACTATAACATTTTCCCACCACGGAGTTATTACTTGCGGCTGTCCGCAGACGCCAATCCTGGCCATATACGTATTAATAATCAATGCGGATAATCTCTATCTGTTTCCATAGCGAAACATGAAGCCGATTTTTGAAGACAAATGACTATCCATAAGGAAAAGTTTTGAAACGATCAGACACATACTGCTTTGATTGAAAGGCTAGTAAACGTTATTGTCCACCGAAACGCATGTCTTTGATGACTACTATAATAGCGGATGGCGCATGCGTATCATGCCACCAAATCCTTATGGATATTCATTTGTTTCATATTTTTGGCTTCATCCTGGCACCCGTTATGATCCGTATTGTTTATTAATACGTATATGAGCCTGGCCCAACATATTCCAATCGGCAATATTTATAGTCTCCGTGGGCATACGGGTTTAACGCCATCTAGACTATATAGAAGGAGTGGCTGATTGTCCGACTGGCGTAATTTCAACTACGAAATAGCCACAATGATCAAAGTGGAATGAAAGGTTAAATAAATACAAAAAAGCTGAGAGTTATTTCCACAAATATTCATGGAATGAACAACAAGACATTTCTTGTTTAAAGAATTAAAATTCAAGAATAGTGTAAAATTTTGATTCATTTAAGAAAACCGAAAATACAGGGTGAGTTCGTTTTTTGTAGCAGGACATTCCAACTCAAAAATGTTGAAAACTACAAGGTGTAATTTCAGAACAGAAAGTTAATGTGAGATTTTACGTATTTTGAATTGAACTGAAAAAATTTTTTATTTACCATTGGGCTGTAGGCTTTGTCTGCATGTTCTTCACAGTTCCAGGTACAGGAACAGCAACAGTAACATTCAATAAAGGAGTTGGAGAGCTCATAGCATGAGAGTTGTACTTGTAATCGATTTTCAAATCCGTGTGGGCACTCGAGCATTTCCAATAAGCAACAAGTTGGAACGGGCATGAATTTGCTCCCTGCTTAGGTTTGATCTACAATATAAATACGCGATACTAAGTAAATATATTCATCGAAGATAGTTGGCTGACATGTCAATACATTTGATGGCATTAATCTGTCCATGTTGGTTCTAGGTATATAAAATTACCACTTTTTTCTTTTATTGATACGTCTACATTTGATTTTGGAATAGAAAGTGAAATTCTGTTCAATCTTCAAATATAAAAGCTTAGTGAATGGTCCAAGTGACAATGACTAAGCGAACTATTCTTTGGCGAAGAAATGGAAGAGAAATGATTTGAGTCTACAAGACTGGATCAATTTCCAGCAACTCATGTTTCCTAGAATTCCACCAAATCAATCTACTATTATTATTCTAAAAGCATTTCCAGATTGATAGATGAGAATAAAAGGGGATATGCTAGTAATCAAGAAAAGAGAATATTCAGCAAGTGATCTCAGCTATGAGATTGATATTAGTCTGGTAGTCTGGAGATTTATAGTTTCTAAACAATAGTTAGTAAACAACATTTTCTATGATGAAGATGAAATGAATAATAAAAATACTGCATGAAAATCTTTTTCCAACAGGAAGTGACCCACCCATTCATGTTTTCATACTTTACCTTGGAAAAAATGTTCATTTCACTCACCTGATACTTCAATATATCAACATTGAAATATGAAGCGCTGGGGTTTTGTTCGGATTGCTTTTTCAATAAGGAACTTAGTGCAGACATTATAAATTCAACTCCTAAATAATCACTAGAAGATTGTCCACTATCACTTAAAAATGAACAAATGTTCTAGAAAAATGTATTCTTTGATGATTTTAGTTACTCACATACTAATTAACTGTTTATTCGGTAAAATACTGGTTAAACTCTGAGTATTCTTGACACGAAAGACCAACTTCGCAGGATTCGGGTTATTGGCGAGAATTGTTACTATTCCAGCAGGAAATGAGAGCATCATTTCCCCAGACATCTTCACTTGACACCTAGAATTCAAAACATTGGGTACATTACAAAGTACATTCTTCAACTTTTTAACACAAAGAGATAACTGAAATGCCAGATCTAATTGATTTCAGGTTTGGTCTGGTATCGGCATATTGCCTTCTGAGGCGGAAAATGTATCTTCTAAACAAAAGAACCTGCATCAAATTCCCATGTTTTTCCACAAAGTGATTGGAACGAGATTTACCCGAAATTCAATTGAACAGCAGTTTTTATGATGGATTCATCTTGTTTCTGTGGCATTTATTACAAGAACTAAGCCCTGTCAAGTTAGGGCAAACTAAGAAACTCTGATATCGGAAAATGAATTAAAACTTATATATATCCAACATATGTTTTCTTGGTCATAAGCAATTTTTCCATAGTTGATGAAATGTTCTTTCCAAATGATCCTGTCAACTAAAGCGACCAACAGAATAAACGCCGTTGTCCAAAATAAAGGCCGAATTCGAATTCGAATTACTTATGGGTCCCATAACTAATTTCTATTTGGTTTTCAGTTGGCTAGCCCCGAGGCTAGCCCAATCTTTCCGTTACTCGTCAGAGTAATATGTGACAACAAAAATTCGAAATAAACGTTCTACAGGATGATAATTGGAGATAGAAGTAGTGTGAAATTGCAGCTGTGTCGTTATGTTCCCGTTTGGGCAAATATTTTCAATTTCTTTTTAACATGATCATAAAAGCTTGATATTTTCTCTCGAATCAATTTCGGAACTATTCGAATCAGAGCTTATTTTAGAAATATATTTTTATTTCAAAATGATGCATTTTATCAACGAATAATTGAATGACATTTAATGTTTAGGATATTTTATTTTTTGACGAATCTAGCTATCAGAATCCGTCTTTTGGGACTCTCAATTTTAGAACTTATAAAATATCTGAAGTTTGGGACATCGATCACAAAAACAAATAATAACAATGAGTTATATCCCAGCTAACGTCATGCGCAGAGCAAGACGAGTTTGAGCTTTTTGTCGAGAACACCATATTTTCCTTCCACTATGAGCGCCTATAAATACGAGCCAAATAGTCTCTCTACCACCACTCACCTAGACTCGTCTGCCCCGCGAAAATACGAATGCACGATCTCGTGGAACGCCACCGCCAGCGGGATCGTATCGGCCATGCCGATCGTCAGAGGGGAGGGGCCTCTGGACACGCCCACCGGCACGCACGCCGTCCGGAACTCCAGGCTGCCGATGCTGTCGGCGCGCGCAATGCCGGTCTGCGACGCGAGCGCCCTCGACGGGTCCGACCGGCGCGAGGGCGGTCTAGGTATGGACATGTAGCCGGATGTCGGCGTGGGGGTTTGCCGCTGCTGGTGCTTGGGAGGCGGCTGCTGGAGTTCGCCGTCCTCGGAGAAGATCTCTCCTAGTTCTGAGAGACATCAGGTGAAATTCACGGTTCAAACTTTCATTTTTGGAGGAGCAGGGGAGAATTTGAAGAGCTAAGCGCCACAAAGTCAATTGTTGGGAAATTGAGAAAAACCTGTAATTTTGTCAAATGAAGTGATTTTATTTGTCACTAATAATTAAGCAGCTGTGTAATGTACAATAATATCGTAATATCCTTACAAATACACAGTTTTACTGAATAAACTGTCGGAAGAAGTCTTTGTTTTTATCCTCAAGGTAAGGTATCATCTTGGAAAGGTCGTTCTTCTTGCTCTGAGATAGTTCAACTCCATCGTCAAGTTTTTGGAAACAAAAGGATGCAATATCTTCCATTCTAACCCCACGCTTCAAAACGTTGACCTTGTTCCAAATTTCCAGCTGGCCGAAGTTGGTCTTGTAGTACACAGTACCTTGTTCAGTTTTGGAGAACTTCATGCTACTTATCGTGAAAATTTTTAATGGCTTTGTGTCTAGATACTTTGCTGATACGCCATCAAAATAGAAAAATCTCCCCTTCATATCCAAAACTTTGAATGGATTGACTGTTCTAGATGACAAAATAACTTCTTTCACATCATCCACAGTTTGCATTTTGCATACCTTAGCTTTTTTTCTATAACAACAAAGTCTCTGTCAGCTGCCGTAGTTATGTTGAATTGTATGAAAGAGACCCCAGTTTATAAGCATCATGTAAAGGATAACAAACATCCGGTTTTTTAACTGCCCCCCACAGTTGTCACTTCAAACGGTCAAATTTCTTTTGTTACAAGCCAAAGTACCAGAATTGATCACCTCTAGCAGACATGACGCCACCTGATTACCTCCCCTACCGGATATGCCCTCATGTCATAGGCACATGATACCATCTCCAGTATTGGATACATGTATACCAAAGCTGAAGCATGACAGCTGCCTGGAATAATACATGTCACTGTGGGTTAGTTTTAGCAATGATTGATCGTGCTGAGAGGCATAGAACTATCCAAAGCATTTTGTTTCATTGCTTTTAACGATGCCTATTCAAATCTTTTTTTGCTCTAATTGCTTCCACAGCAACAAGATATTTGGACTGTATGTTAAGCACGTCGCATGTTTTACAAGTGTCTACTCGTGGTTGCCTGAAGGAGAGATTGAAATGCAATAAGGAAGGCTTTGTACATTTTAGGTACATTTAAATCACTACTCAAATACTCCTTATTGCTTTTTTGTCGCCCATAGTTGCTCAAATCTCTTGGAAAACTGTTTATGTGAGCTCTGACAGTTTTACGGTCTTGGAAGGTGTATTTGTAGGTCTCCAAACCTCCTCGTTTATCTCAAAAAGTGGTTTCACCAGATTTTTCTTTTTCATGATGTTCTCAATTCTCTTGCTTGATTTAATACCAAAAATATTCATAAAGGTTTTTTTACATACTTTAGTAAATCCTCCATCACCGTTTGGTACTGTGTAGCTTATAGTAGCTTGTCTTCTACTCTGTCCAGCTTTTTCATACATCTTGAATCTGCGTCGTCCAACAATATGCCTTTGCATATTGTCTAAAAGTAACAATAATCATTAGGAGGCCATAAGTATGCAATTATGGTTAAAATATTTCATTCATGTAAAAAACTAACATCATTTTTAGGTGGCAGTCTTCCAGGCACTAATGTCTTCTTTTGAGTAATGTATGGTTCTCCTCTTAATCCTGCTTTTCTCATCCTGTTTCGAAATCTCTTACTTTCAAGCTCTAAAGCAGGGTCTACATCCATCGTTAATGAACGCAAATGTACCTACTAATATAATGTTGACTCACAGCTCACAGCACACCTGACTGGTTCGTAGCTCCTTTAGCACGCCCAAAGCCACGGTTCATACCGCATATCCATTTTGCGAACGTTGGTTACCCACGTTATAATGGTCTTGAACCTTCAGCCATATATTATCCCTTAGGTATCGCAAATAGGAAAATGACAATTTTGGCTCTTAGCTCTAATAGCTATATTATATATATATATGCTTCATTTCATTTTGCTTCACGAATCCTTGATGAAATGAATTTTGAATTTTTCAAGGTCAAACATCCCAAAATATTTTCTAGAGAATGGGTGTGTTTTTCATTGCAACATTTTGTCATGCGCATGAGTCAAAGAAACCATCAAACTGGAAAATATTGTCAACAATTTTTCAAAAAAACTCTTGCAGAATTACCTCCCGTGCTGAGTGATAGGTTATGATGAAGCTGTTGTTTCTATCTCTAGTAAGAGTATATAGATGACGCCATATATTAGTTTTGAGCATACACTTCATTGCTCCATTCGGGAACAGTGGTCTATTGAAAAAAAAATTGATTTATAGGCATTCCTTTTCAGCGTTCCTAATTAGGAACATGGGACCTTAAGAGGTTAAAACAGCTACAACCCATCGTACAAGCTCTGTAACAAAATTAGGTGTAGAAGGTGCCAACCTGCATATCTTGAAGACACTGACAAAGTAGGGGAATTCAGCGCCAACTGCGACGGACTCTGCAACGGCGCATAGGGATGCGAACTCGTAGGAGTGGACGCGTTCGAAGCAGTAGGGCTCTGCTGGAAGGTCAGCCCCAGCAGATCGGTGCTCGGCTTGCCCAGTTGCTGGGACACCGACTGCGACCTCTTCATGGTGGAATCGTCCAAGTTGGAGCCGCGCCTGGCGAAGCCCCCTGTGGGCGACAGATAGAAGTTCTCCACCGTCGCTCTGAGTTCGTCCACGGAGGCAGACATGGGGGCCGAGCCGTTGTTCAGCGGTTTGATTTCGACGTGTATCTTGCGTTCTCTATCGTCGTCTACAAATTGATAATCAATTTAAATATTGAATTTGAAATTTAACATTAATAGAATATGCCTATCTAGAGCGTCTACTTGTTTATCTTAGTAAAAATGATAAAATTTCTGAAAACCAGCACGGATTTCGAGCAAATAAAAGTACAATTACTGCCATTCATTCATTTTATGACAAAATCGTCAGCTTGATCAACACGGGCGAATGCCCTGTGGGGATTTTCTGCGATTTGACCAGGGCATTCGACTGTGTTGATCATACTATACTCATCAACAAATTACGAAAATTTGGTATTGAAGGTTCAGCGCTCAAATGGATACAAACATTCTCAAGTAATAGAACGCAGTTTGTGAGTATTGCAAATACAAATGAGACGAATTTTCGTCAAAACATTAAGTCTTATTCACTTGATACCGCCGTAGGCGTACCACAGGGATCTATAATGGGTCCAATATTATATCTCCTTTATGTTAGATCAAAAGATAACCTACACCTACCTATCACCACAAAAACGCTAACATTCAAATCTCCAAACAACATGAGCCCAATGCTTTATAACAAAATCTCACAAAACATCAAATGTATTGCCTCAACCAAACATTTTAAAATATAATTGAAAGAATATCTATATTATTATCACTTGTGATACTCGATTAAGTTAGATTATAAGTTTATATTATGACGATTCCTATACAATGTAATATCGTCTGAAAGATTAAGTAAAGTAAGTAAGTAGCGTTTTCCACTAGTCGCCCTAGCTCGAACTTTTTCGGTACTGAGCGAGTTTTGCGTAGTCTATTGAGAATTTCAAGAGCGAATTTTTGTCGAGAAATGATTTCCACTTGCTTTCATACTAGCTCGATGTCCGTTCAAAGTTCGAGTTTTCAGAACCCTGCTTGTGCGACAGTGCGATACACATAACCTTAAATATTTGAGTGAGAAAATATTTGAAATTTGAATTATTATGAATGTCTCATTGAAATTGATTGCAGTAATTTCCGAAATGATGATTGAGATACAGAAGTATTTCGTTACGAAATAGCATTTACCGAAAATTCAAAATTACCTACCAGTTGAAGAAAGCTACTCAGATGTACATACATTCAATCGTTGATTCAGTAAGGATGAAAAATACTAACTTTATGAACAATTCAATGCTGAATCACTATGGTTGATATTCAATTGAACATCATTGACAATGAAGAAAAATTTTTTATTCATAAGACTTGCTGGCAGGGCTTACAGAGGAACCACGAAAGGTAGTCAAGGAAATCATGTCAATCTAGAAACTGAGAACTCTTTATTACGGAGGATATCATTTAACCTGACTCCATGAGAGTGGTATAGTGTCCAAGATTACATGTCAATATAGAAACTATCGACTCTTTATCATAGAGGATATCAATCCTGATTCCATGAGAGTGCTGTGTAATCTCTAGACCATGAATATCCTGCATTTAGGAATTTATCTGAAGACATACATTAATTTCTGACAGAAGAGAATGATATGTGAAAGTATGAAATAGAAAAAGTATAGGATATTTCTAGGATTCCATGTCAATCTAGAAACTATGGAATCCATCACAGAGGCATACAGAGGATATCAAAGTTCACTTGTTTCGAATCGGTTTTCACCGAGACAAATATCAGTTACCTACCTGATTCGGAATCAGATGATGAATAAAAGCTTCCTTTTTCACTGTTCCAATTCTGGGAAACATTTGGTCTAATTACATAACCGTCTTCATCAACTTCCTGCGCTGATGGATCAGTTGTTTCAATTGTCCTTTGGCTTTTTTGAGAATCGTCTTTCTCCTCCCTGTCAAATGAGTAGGTAATCAGTACCAACTGATATTGACATTTATCAAAGTCAAAGAAGATCATCATATGTGATACTAGATTCAATAGGTGAGAGCATTAATTTCCAGAATACCAAGAATTGTTTTGATTTTTTTATTCCTATTATATTTCATAAATTCAATACATAAAGAAAAGCTTTGAACACAACGAAAAATCGCCAGCAAAACTGACGTCTCAACAACTATAGCGCGCCGGCCGCTTATTGGTAGCCGATAATAATCGATAATTTACTATTCAGTGATATAAACAGTGTTGTCGCTCAAATTGATTCATGCCACGGATGAACTGAGTGCAACAACTTGGAACTCATTTGTTTTTGTTTTCTCACAAAACCAGATTGTGACATATTCGTTTTTTAATAAAATCCAGGTATACCAGAATCGTTCATTTGCTTGAACCTCAGTATAGACGTATAATTGAGGGTTGGGCCTAATTGTGTCGCTGTTGATTGTACCTACAATCTACCTGATAACTGATCACTTATCTTGTCAGATTTGAAGTTGTAAAGTTAACAATAGAGGTATTGGTGACATTTACTACATTGATGTATATCAAAAATCATCTTGATAGTTTACAGTTCGATCGATTTGGATATTGGAAAATAATTACTTGATATTTCCTTAAAACAGAACAACTGGTAACACAGGAAAAGGGATTATGACGCCGATATTGGCTATACTACATTCCAAATGATAAGATAGTATCTGGCGCTGCCTCTGAGAGAATGTTCACACTGTCAAAATAAAAAATGTTTTACCTGACTCAAAATCATGGCCATTCTAATGATTGAGTTACTATTCGACTTTGAGTTTGCTCTAAGGATTTATTGTAAGATGGAACTTATATCAACTAACTGAAATGTGATAATGGGATTATCTTTCAACAAAGAAAACTTTAATCATATCGTCACGTCATAATATTAGACATTTGTTTTCTTGCCTATTACTTGATGAGAATCCATTGAGTAACACCTTGGAAAAGATGATTTTTGATATCTAGGTAAAATCACCGCTACAAATTCATTCAAATGTTTGGGTCCTCTACATTGGCCAAAGAAACCATTCACCATCATGAATTCATCATAATTTCAAAGTTCCTCTTTTCATCGTCAATCATGGATAGAGCGTGTTTCATAAAATGATTAAGGCACTATAAAATGGTGACTTACATATCAGATTTTTCCTCCTTATTGCTCTGGGTATCGACATTTTCTTTGCTCTTTTTCTTTGATTTTTTTTGCTTTGCCTTGTCTCTCCTGCTTCTCAAGAACCCTGCAATAACCTTACTTATGAAATTACGAGTCACCACAAAGAAGGCAGATTGAATAGTTTAAAGCTGACAACGAAAGACACTTCAAGACACCCAATGCAATTCAGATTGAATTCTCCAAACCATAGGAAAGATGACAGAAATATCGAAAACGTATGGATGACAATAAATAGAATCAGAATTGCTATGGTGTACTGAAAGCAACAGAGTGATTTAAAGTAGAAACGAATAATGTGCTACATCTCGCCAACACAACGCCATAGTATATGAATATTTCAAAAAAATTACAGTATTACAGTACGTGCAGCTATATTCAAAATATACATAAGTAAATAGAAAATGAAAGTAAGTACAAGCCGTCTACCTGAAAAATCAAGACAGGAACTGCTGAAATGAAAAATAAGAACACCTGGTCATCCAGGAAAAACTGAAAACTTTGCTTTGTTGAATAATTCCATCAGTTACACAAATATTCGCATGAATTTAATCAACATTTTTGAAGACGAACCTATGCATTTTTTATACAGGGTGTTCAATAGGTAATTGTACATATAAGTGAGGTAGACATTTTGGACTTCAAAATACTACTTACGATTTTGGGTTAACTTGCCTTGATGGAATATTGCTAGTAAGGGAGACACAGGATGTTTGACGTTAATTTGTATAATGTATTTTTTATGTATGTTTAAGTTCTTGGACATGGAAACATGACCGTTTCAAAACACTAGGAGTTTTTCGTCATGAGAAATCATAAATTTCCTTTTCTTTTTTCAATGTATTTTCAAGACAGCGCCACATAAACCACCTTCGAGGCATAAATGTGCACTTAACATTTTTGTTTTTCAGGTTAGCGCTATTTTCATAGGAGGAACATAAAAGACATGTTATTTATTACAGTAATCTGGATAATCGTATCTCAGAAAACAGTTGCATAACTGTCAGTATGGAAAATAAAATACTTCACAGAAGTGATAAATTATGGAATAGAGAGTGTTTAGCTACTACTACGTTGAGGATTTCAACAAGTATAACTTATTTTAGGTAACATTATGTCTAATAGTTTTTAATAAAAATGGCGCTAACCTAAACAACAAGTTGAACGCGCATTTATGCATTGGAGTAGGTACCAAATTATGATTTCTCATACCCAAAAACCACTAGATACGAAATTTTGATATTTCAACTTTGACACCATGTAGGTATCTCTTTTATTAGCAATATTTCCACACTCCAACATACCCCAGTATATACATTATAATACATTATTTAAGAAAGAAAGCTAACTCATGCTCTTGACTTCAAATTATGTCAATTCAAATCAAAACTGGAAATATAGATTGATAGGAAAACTGTGGTGTGTGCATTTTTCACAATCGCTATGATTCCGAAAATTAAGTGCACCATGATGGAATTATTTACGTTGATTAAGTATGTCAGTTTATCCTCGATCAACCGTCCAGATCAACCTCCACCATAAATTATCTAAGATTTTTTTTCAAATATAGGGAACAGAGCCGTCATGCAGCAATCCGAAGAACAAGCGACAATAAAATTCCTGGAAATCCCTTCCTTCTAAATACATTGTAACCTCAACTATCGCGACAGGAAATATGGTCATTGTTTAAACGATATGGAAATTGATACTAACATTTATGGAACTTGAATATGCCCGCGAGAAGAGAATTGCACAAAGTGAATTTAATTCACAAAGTTGTACTATACGAAAAACCCCGCCATACCATACCAGCTCTACAACCAGGTTCCAAAAAATCTCAGGACATTTTCATCTATAATTCTGAAATCATCACTACAATAGTTTACCACTTCTAGCGAATGTTTGAATGAACTTTTGTCACATTCTGTTCATTAATATGCCAATAAAAACTTATTTTTTGTATGCTAGTAGGGGAAAATTATATTCACCTGCTTCTTGAAGAGGGGAAAAATGAAAGAAGTAAAGCAAAAGAACAATATGAAGGATATAACTACATTGTCGGCAATATAGGATTTCGAAGATAATGTCATGGAATCTGAATAAAATCTGGCATCCATCGGTAACTAACTATTATTTTAAATGCTGGGAGATTTGATGATTGGATGAAATTGATCGATAATAGAAATGTAATGATGAAACAATATTATCCTAATTTAAAATGTCTCGCCCGAATTACACAACGAAGTTCAATTATCTTCAGTATTTATTTGGTAGGTATCTGGGTATCAAGGAAAATTATTTGCGAATCACAAAAAAAAACAATCAAAGCGAAGGTCAAAGCTTTCCTGTGATTTCCAATGTTGTTTTCTTAGTTGGAATGGACTATAGAAAGGTTTTTTCAAATAGAAGAGTGATCTCAATTCATTTAGAACTTGAAGGGAGAATCAGCAATTTCATACTATCGCCTAGCTCAAGAATACAAAAGAGGGGAAGAGACAAAAAATTACACTTGGATCCACGATTGGCATGTCTAGTCAGCTGCTGCTCCCCGTCAGGGGTAGTGGGGCTTGACGGAGCACTGCAAGGACCTGCTCGACTTTCACGTGATCCTAAAAAATAGCCCAAGCCCCTGTTTAATACACAGAACTTAGCCACCTTAAGACCTTAAGAGAGATCCGATTTCACAATTTCACAAGAAACATTTCGAAATGCTACTTGAAAAGAGGATAATACCATAATATGCTTAATTTTACATTGAACGTATTAGATATATGAGGTAGGCCAGATAATGTACCAAAATACAAAGTGTCCCAGAACAACATACCCAGTGAATTAGAGTTCAAAATAATCTCTATAGTTTGTTATTACTTCAAAATACTTCATTACGAAAATAACTCTGCAATTTCATAGCCAAAGAATAATATTAAGGATGGAGTGGATGTCATATCTTTCTAGTACATATACAAGACAGAAAATAGTTATTTCGATAATCGGTAATACATTATTACTCAAAGGTAATACATTATCTCAGCCGGTATGACATCCATCCATCCAATTTTGGTCGTCATACTCAATCCAGGAAAATAAAAATAAAGTTAATCGCTATTTGAGTTGATTCAAATCGGACTGTTTTGAGCTCTAGTTCGCATTATTGTATTTTATTCTGCATATAAAACGAAGTATTGTGCTTCACATAATAGCAAATCGATGATAAGTGTCATGTCTATTCTTGATATCAATTTTTTGATAAAATTTTCAATATGGCAATACCCAATACAAGAATTGTTACCATATTAGCTTGATTCTAGAAAATTCTATTTTCTATCTCTATGAGCTATTTCACCGACAACTGGTTTCAATTCAAAATAGAACAATAAAAAATCAGTCTTGACACAAATTGTACTTTTTGTGACCCTGATAAAAGAGCCTTCTACTCAACAAAAATAATCTAGTTATCTGGTTTCTGATAATAAGGAGAATGTATCATCATCATCCATTTCCAGGGAGAATAAAAACAGAATATACAGTGAGTGTGCTAAAATTGTCTACATATGAAATAGGTACTTACTTTCTGATTTTCTAGAATATTTCATCCTCGATAAATAGTTGTGCAATTTGGGGAAGCAATATCAATCCATTCAAACTTGACAAACGTGAATGATCATCAAAAACTGCTGTACAAAAAAGTACTTGACAGCATCAAATCAAAGTGATGATGAAGTTTTAGATTTTGTAGACGATTTTCCGCGGTGAAGAGCCTACCTCTATTTCTGAAACTATCGAAAATTCTAATTGTTGTTCGTAAATAGATACTGAAATGGAATTTTTAATATTTGATCCAAGTCTAAATATATATTTTTCTCAGAAAGCAGAAGCAGGGACGAACCGAAAGACATTTTTTTTGGGGTCCAGCAGTAAGTGAATTATGCCAACTCATTTTTGAATTTTCCAACGTTCGTTTTGGACAAAAAATTGGGCACTGAAAAAATATAGAACATAACATGATATAAAAAATATTTAAATAGATATTTGAACCAACATAAATTTTCAGTATAATTTCCTCGACAGTAGGAAATTTAAAAATTCCGTCTGTCAACTGGGAATATTGGATACAAGAAATTTCATTTTCTATAAGCTAAGAATATTTCATTTTCACATTGAAAACCTGTATCTAAAAATTTCATTTTCCGAATTGAACCTTGATATTTCCAACTCAAAATTCGGAATTTAATTTTTTCGACAAGTTTTATCTACTGTCGGATATTCGAGTTTGCAGTTGGAAGTTCCTAGTTTGAATTGGAAATGTAATTTCCTTCATGTTCAAACTTGGAAATTCCGACTACAAAATTGAAATTTAATGTTTTTGGGTGTATGACAAATTGATATTGAAAAACTGATATATTTATAAAGAATTACATTGAAACTTTATGTTTTTGAAGTTGGAAATTCCTAGTGAAGCAAGAATAAATATTTATCATGAAACGTATTTTTGTGAAACTTTCCCAAATCGCATAAGAATGGGGGAGTGCCCCCACCCACGGGCCCGTCCCAGAGCAGAAGCATGAAATAGTCTAAGAAATCCATACTGAAGAGCTTTAATACATGTAGCAAATTATGTAAACAAATTCGGCCAACAATCACAAATATCTTTAATAAATTGGCAATTCTCTAGATTTTGATGAAGCAATATTATGAGAAATGTTGAATACATTCTTAAAAATAAGTGTGTTTTTAAAATTCGGCCGATAAATGAAATGGGTAACAGAAGATGCAGTACATTATGTTGAAATAAATATAAGTATGCCCCATACAACACTCTGTCTTATTTATTGTTCCAATTTCGAAAACATCCAGTATATACCTCATCAATCAACACTATCTGCCACATTAATTGCACCTCTGTATCTCACATAAATTTAGATAATCTGAGATTTATCATTATAATTATTATGGCGCTTTAATTTTCATTGTGCATTTCAAGTTGACAGGAACTATTAATTCACCTGCTTTGAATTCTTTTCAATCATCATCGGATCTCCCTTTTAATTTCTCTATAATGCTTCCCTTAACGTACCCTGCGAATTAGACATGAAGAGATTTAGGAGAGAGGTTGTTCGACGGGATGTTTTGGCATGTGTTGGCACTGTTTGCTCAGGGTGACCATTACCTTCACGCTTTGTAGGCTTCGAGTCCACCTCAGTAGTCGGAGAAGTCAGAGGGTCATCCAGATCCAAAGTACCTGTGTAAAAATAATTGTCACACACTGGATATATTCCAAGTGACAATTCAAGTCTTATTCATTTAAAATCTCAAGTTCACATTCTGTTATGATACTAATATGATAAACCTACGCCAACACTCAAATGTATGCACACAAGGAGATTATCCCCTTGAGACATCACTACCCCTCCTGAAAACAATAATGGAATGGAAGCAAGAACATGAAATACATTGGCATAGTCCTTCCTGAGTCTGTGAAACAGTAACTACTTTCAATTTTATGACATGAATTGGTTTGGTCTATATTTATCTCGATGTTTGTAATGAATATAATGAATGCAAAAAAAAAACATCTATAATATTAGGTGTTTTTATTGCCACATATGCAGTAGAAACCTACGAAAGCTCTGGAGTGCCAATGGAAAAAAATAAAGAGTCGAAATTTCGAGAGTCGAAATTTCGTCTTACCAACTCGAAATTTTCTATTACTAAGTCGAAATTTCGTATTACTAAGTCGAAATTTCGTATTAGTAAGTCGAAATTTCGTATTAGTGAGTCGAAATTTTGACTTAACATCTCGAAATTTCGACATGGTTAACTTGAAATTTCGACATGATTTTTATCTCGAAATTTCGAGTTTTCATGAAAAGTCATATGAAACCGGCTTTATTGATGGTTCTTGGCCATTACAAAAGACATCTAGATCTAGGTATCCACGACGGATGCCAGATTTGGTTCACTGTTTTCTTAGTTTTTCAACTCAGATCTCTATTGTACAGGGTGTCCCGAAATTAGCCTGCCAAACTCCACCAGCAGCTTCTTTGACCAAAAATAGGAAGAAAAGTTCCAATGAACATGAGTCGAGAAATTTATCCTAAGGGAGCTATGGCCCCCTGAAAGGGGGCTCCTGAAGATGATATTTCTTGAATATTTCCGGAACGCCACGTGATAAAATGATGCAATTTGGTACAAGAACTAAACTTTCCATGCCCAATGCGGTGAACATAAAATCATTTAAGAGTTTCATTCAGGAGTGTGAAATACAAGGTGGGACTACATTAAATATTGCTCGAACTTTTTCGTATGCATATTTTTTGACAATGTAGTCTCGGATTATAAAAATCCACACCATTTCTCAAAAATAAGTGCTCTTGTTCCGCATTGATCAGATGTATCATTTTCTATTGAAATCGATTTGAAAATATTGATGTATTCACATCTTATGCATAACGTTGCCAATATTCAAATCATAGTGGCTATAAAAAAATCAAGTACTTTCTACTTACCAAACAATCTCAAAAAATCGCAAAAAATAGGAAAATGATGATGAAAAAACTACTTCAATTTTTGTGCATTTTTTTCCATTTCCACTATGCTTCATTGCAATGGTATGCATAATATCTGAGATGTAACAATATTCTGCTTAAATTGCTTCAACTCGATAACAATACATCATCTGATCGTCACGGAACAAGAGTACCTTTTTTCTGTAAAGAGGTGTGAAATTTCATAATCCGAGATTAAAGGACCCCGCACTTTTAGTACGTAAAATGGTTCTCGGTGAAATTTTCTGAATTTTCAGTATGTTGTAGAATTCGATGAACTGATTGAACCTGCAGAATCGTAAAGTTCTTCGATGAACAGATTCTGAGATACAGGGCGTTGAAGTTACAAATCGTTATTTTTCATTTAATTATTTTCTCGAAATTCAAAGATGCCAAGTACAATTTTCTTCGCTCATATCATTAACGAACCTCCATATTACTCAACATAATTCAGATGGTTCAGATAATGTAATTGTTTACAGAGTGAAACATATAAACATTTCAGTGATGTCTGAAAATTCGATGTAATAATGAAATATCGAAAAAATAATTCAGGCATGCAATATACTATTCTCATTCCATCATGAATCACAATTCATACATTTCATACAGGGTGATTTGAAAAATTGGTGACACCTAAGACCGATTTATTCATACACATCCTGTATATTCGAGTGAATTGTTAACCTCCCAAGATAGCTGATACCGTATGAACATGATTTCGTTGAGATATATAGGGTGATCATGAAGATTTTCGATGATGAAAATGACAAAAAATCGTGTTTTTTGAAATCACCCTGTTATTCATGATTAACTCGGTGAAATTCCCTAATTATTTTTCAATATATTCATCATTCGCTCCTTAACGCTGTCTTGAAAATTCAGTTTCCTATCATGACGGGTGTCATAGTTATTAATTCAGGAACTTACCATTTGCATGAAGAGTTGAAGAGACTTGTTCACTTACATTCGCATAGTGGCCGATATTTTTCACAAATAGTGAAACGAGAGAATGTGGAGACCAAATTAGGTTTAGAATTCATATACATTGTGAACATTAGAAATTCAATAACAATAGCAGATATATGAATTTAATAATATTAATATAATGTACAGATAGTTAGGCGAATTTCGTTGGTATACAAGCTCTGCCAAAATGAAAAACGAACAATACCTAGGAGATGGGAGAATGATTCGGTCTTTCACGCTTCCATTTAGAGTTGAATCTTGGAATCGACAGATTTTTTCACATTTGTTTTCCACTCAGAATCAGGCGTTTCCATCATTTTCATATTACCAACGAAATTCGCCTAACTATCTGTACATTATATTAATATTATTAAATCCATATATCTGCTATTGTTATTGAATTTTTAATGTTCACCCTGTACATGAATCCTCAACTTATTTTCGTCTCCACATTCTCACGTTTCACTATTTGTGAAAAATATCGGCTACTATGCGAATGTAAGTGAACAAGTCTCTTCATCTCTTCATGCAAATGGTAAGTTCCTGAATTAATAACTATGACACCCGTCATGATAGGGAACTGAATTTTCAAGACAGCGTTGAGGAGCGAATGATGAATATATTAAAGAATAATTAGGGAATTTCACCGAGTTAATCATGAATAACAGGGTGATTTCAAAAAACACGATTTTTTGTCATTTTCATCATCGAAAATCTTCATGATCACCCTATATATCTCAACGAAATCATGTTCATACGGTATCAGCTATCTTGGGAGGTTAACAATTCACTCGAATATACAGGATGTGTTTGAATAAATCGGTCTTAGGTTTCACCAATTTTTCAAATCACCCTGTATGAAATGTATGAATTGTGATTCATGATGGAATGAGAATAGTATATTGCATGCCTGAATTATTTTTTCGATATTTCATTATTACATCGAATTTTCAGACATCACTGAAATGTTTATATGTTTCACTCTGTAAACAATTACATCATCTGAACCATCTGAATTATGTTGAGTAATATGAAGGTTCGTTAATGATATGAGCGAAGAAAATTGTACTTGGCATCTTTGAATTTCGAGAAAATAATTAAATGAAAAATAACGATTTGTAACTTCAACGCCCTGTATCTCAGAATCTGTTCATCGAAGAACTTTACGATTCTGCAGGTTCAATCAGTTCATCGAATTCTACAACATACTGAAAATTCAGAAAATTTCACCGAGAACCATTTTACGTACTAAAAGTGCGGGGTCCTTGTCGAAAAATATGCAAAAAAAAATTTGGAGCAATATTTAATATAGTCCCACCCTGTATTGTACACTCGATCCTGATCGACATTTTGAAATGATTTTATTTACACCGCATTGGGCATAGAAATTTCAGTTCTTGTACCAAAGGGCATTTTTTCATTACATGGAGTTTCGGAATTACTCAAGAAATATCATCTTCAAGGGCACCCTTTCGGGGGGCCATAGCTCTTTCAGGAGGCATTTCTCGTCCCATGTACATTGACAGTTTTAGTAATTAGTAAATTTCAAAATTTTCTATAATTTGTTCTACTTGTCACACGAAATCAAGATTCAACAGGGTGGAAGTTCTGAAACCCATAAATATTTTCCAGGAATAAAAAAAAAATCCATATTTTTTTATAAATTACCCCCTACCCCCCAAACGCACGGGACGATTTTTTGACGACAAGTGGATCCATGATCTGGAGATGGTAGGTAACAATTCTAGCCATGTCACAGCTTTTTACCTCCGATTTCCCACAGGGTGAACGATAGGATTCGATTGGCACTCTACTACTAAGGAGTGATCAAGTTATTATATAGATTTACTTTTTACTGACATTTAATTGAAACAAATACAAGGTTGAAGATTAAAAATTATGATCCTCCTGTATCTGCTACATATAAATGTCAGTAGATAGTAAATCAAAAATTAAGATAGGGACATAAATGCCGTTTATTGACCGATGATGAATTCTTTCCACTCCTAGAGAAAGGTGAAATACTGGTACAATGAAATCTTTTTCATTGTACCAGTATATTTCACCTGATGAAGCTGCTGTGTTAGGGAAACATTTCATGTGATTAAGAAAAAATGAATTTTTGATAAAAATGTGATGTGACTCAATTGATTCATCTAAAAGTGACACGAAAAATTATTTTTCAGAAGAAATTATGTTTCTCTATTGTGTAGGACTTATTCTGGATAGCATTGACCACATCTCATTTGAAATGAAAACACAATCTTAATTTAAATTTTTGGAAAAAATTCCATTTAACATGAGGAATGCACTTGTTTTGACCTGTTGAATTCGAATATATGTAAAAATATACAGGGTGTTCCAATAGAAAAAACAAAGTTGCTGGCATTTCCAGAAGAACCGGAAGTCTGCCATATTGGATTGTAATGTGATCAAAGAAACTGTTGCTTATACAACTGTATCAAATTTCAGAAAAATTCCTTTACAAATGCAGAAGTTACAGGGGTGGCCCAATATCCTGTGTCACCCAGTATATCAATATATTTAGGATTATGAAAAGTATCATTATGCAACATGTTAATTCTATCCTGTACTGGATTTGAAATAAATGAGTCTTGATTCTTGAAAATATGATAATATACAGGGTGCTCCTTTTGAAATATCAAAGTTGCTACTACTTTGTGATAGAAGTGGCAACACCACAATGTTGAAAATATTTTAGTTGGGTAGATAGTGTCTGAATATGCTCTCCATCAAATTTTCATAATGATCTCGTGTCTGCTTCACCAGAAACATCTAATGTGCCATCCACCATGAATTAGCCTGGTCATTATTCATCAGGGTGGATTAGAAATTTAAATTCATCTACATAAACCATGTTCCTATTGAAAAACTATACATTTTGGTGCTTCATGCACATTTGCAAATTAAGTGCAGAACAGTAAATGCCACTGTTTAAAAAAAAAACACACCAGCATTCCAATTCTGTTGATCATCAAATCACTTGATTGCATAACTATTAGTACCTGGTCTCTCAAGTCCTGTTGATTTGCTATGAACAAATTGTTCAAGTAACTGATCTACTGTCAATTCCACACATTGTTGCCTAAATTCTCTATGTACATGTCCCATTTGTTCATGGGTCCATTCAATAACCTCAGCATATTTGTTCAAAAACTCTTTCATATGACCTAGATGATTCACTTCAAGTTCTTGAAAGTTTTTGCATGTTACTGACATTTTCTTTTCAAAGTCTTCTTTGATACTGCTGTACTTTTCTAAGAAACTTTTGTAATCTTCATGGGCCTTTTTCAATTTTTGTTCAGCTTTTTCTATCTCTTTTGCAGATGTGCTGTCTTTTTGTAAACGTTCTAAATCTAGACCTCTTTGGGTATAAGTGTCTTTTGATTTCTGAACATTCAGAGTGATGTTTTGCATCAATTGTACTGCATCAAGTGTTCCAGATTCCTCTTCTTTGACCTACAATAGCATACATTCAAATAATCTACAGCATTCTGTAATATATACTTAGTACATGATTCTGATTTATATAAAATGGTAGATGTCTTACCAATTTATGTTTCTTCTGGAGATCCTCAGCATATTTGCTGACTTCCTTGACTAGGTCTGAAACTTTCTGTACCATTTGCATGTGGAGAGCAGATAATCGTTCTGCAGAAGTCTTTAGTACTTGCCATAATGGTGCAAATGTACCATGCACACAACAACTACCAGCCTGTTTGGCTAATTTGCTAAGAAGCTTTGAGTTGTTTTCTTCTACATTTGACCTACAAGATTGAAGTACAGAAAAATTGCAAATTCATTGAATGAGGCTACCTTTCTCTCAAAAAGTCTGCAAATTCTTTGCTTGCAACTAATCCATATTTCATATTATGGTACAAAACATCGAATCCGTTGTTCTTTTCTCCCTAGAAAATAATTAGTTAAAATAATACTTCTATTCATCTACATTTTCAATTCCAATAAGAATACTCACCCAAAAGTAATCATTGAAATCGACCGTCATTGTGACTATGTAACCATGCCAATTTATATTGAATTAAACCTTTTTATAAAGGGCACAGCAGAGTTCAAATGGTAAATTATAAACAATTAGACTAGCTGACAACTACTACTTGAGAAAGAGAATAACAAATACCAGGCTAATCATCAACCCAAATCACATTCTACAAAGCATGATTTGAACAATATAATATTCCAAATTTAAACTGAATAATCAGAAACAATATTAGGAATGTGATAAATTCAAATTTTAACTATAACGAACACATTTCGACTATATTTTTCACAATTTTGAAAGGAATTTTAATAATTTTATATTAAAATAGGGGGCGGAACCGACGATATTTTCGTTTCAACGACAGACAGACAGACAGACCATGTCGATGTCGCTCAAGGCTCAAGTTGTTGACCATTGGGCATTGACCACTGCTGACCTGACAGTAGTGACACTAGTGACAGTTCAAACTTCAAACAATGAATTTGGAAACATCGGCGTCTCGTGCTTATTAATTTAATTAATCACTATCGCTATCGGCGATATTCAATGATATACTTTCTCTTCTACTGCCATCAGGGTCGGAACAGAACAGTTATGGCTCCTTCCAGTCCTTCCTGGTACGGTACGACTGGTACGAGAGTACGAGAGTTTTGTCAAACACCAATAGGCCTGTTCGTTTGTGTTTGCTCTACCTGATAAACTTGATTTTTTTCAATGACTCTGTTTACATCATTTCATGAACCGATGGAAACAGAATCTGAAAATCAAGCAAGTTCAGCAACATAAACGAACAGACCTATAGTGGCAACGATAAAGCAGAGTTGTTATTGTCATTACTTTTGTAATAGATCTATTACTATTTCATGGAGGTTACGTTCCGTCATGAATCTATTACTATTTGCAGTTAAATCAAAAATGTGAAGTTGTTTCATGACTAAAATATCTAGTTTAGTGCTCAGTGGATGATTATGTTCTGCTCAAATCTGCTCTATGAGGTCTTACGTGGTCTTATATAGAAGTTAATAGACCTTGGTCTTAAGCGGCGTTCACAACCAAACTTTTTACGTTTTGCTTTTTACGTTTCGCATTCTGATTGGTGAAGCAAAATATGTAATTGAAATGACGCAAAAAGCTGAAAATATTCAGCTTTTTGCGTTGCAAGAAGCCATCGTCTGTGAAAATAGTAACAATTGACAAATTATATTGTTATAAAAATAGAAAATACTACAGAACAATACATGTATGAAACATTCTATATGGAAGTTATGTTAATGTTTTTGCTCATGATTCTTTCGTGAATCCACGGAATAGTAGAAAGGTATACTGTTCAATTTATTATTTTCTTCTTGAGGATTGATTTTTCACTTCAAGTATTGAATAAGGATCAATTTACGTCACCGCCAGCCATACGAACATTTTTAATTATCTAATCAATAGTATTGTTATGATTATTCCACTTCATTTTAGGATGAAACAAAAATGACAAAATCAAGGCAACTGAGAAAAGCGGAAAAAGTCACGTTTTGTTGTGAATGACATTTGCATAAGTTTAATTCACGTTTAATCTCAGATTTTGCTTCACCAATCAGAATACGAAACGTAAAAAGCAAAACGTGAAAAGTTTGGTTGTGAACGCCGCTTTACTCTACATCTATGAGTATGTTTACATGTTTACCTCCATTGTATCTGTCACATCTGATAGATCTACTACATATATACTTCTATCTCTATAGGTAACGAAATCGACCAATAGGCGTTGATGCAGACGTAGGGAAAAAATAGTACGAAACTTGGTAAACGAATATGGCTACGAATTTCAAATTTTTAACTTACTTTTAGTGCGTATGTGATTGATTGTGATTGAAATTCGAATATTTGCGTTTTAGTTGTACAACAAGTGTTTGTGTTTCCGTTTATTTCTCATAGAATGAACGTTTTTAACCATGTCTAGTGGAACGAAATGCAGTATTATTTGCAGAGGAAAGAATAGACAGGAATCCTCTTTTCATAAGTAAGTTTGAATTTTCAAATTTTCTTGTTGACCTGCACAATTGTACTATACTGTGGTATTATCAACAATTGATGATTTTTAATATTTTATTATGATCAAATAATTATTAACGAACCTAACCTAACTTGAAATCTGATCCTCACGTCAGCAGTTTCCATCCTTCACTTTCCGTCCTTATAGATTCAAAAAGTACCTCTAATTTTGGTCCCATTTTTGGGCGATGCGCCATATATAGGAATAGTAGATATATGCTATGTAATATGTTCCGTATAGGCACTCTTAGCACAGTCTCTTAGTTCCGTGATTTGCGAGTATTGATATTGAATCCCCTGGTTCCTTGCGGGAGAGAGGACATATTATGACATTTATGACCTCTCGCTCAGTGTTGTTGCTTTGCTGTGGCGATATTTTTTAATTCCCTTGAGAATATCGAATATACGAAAAGAATGAAAATATCATGTCTGCATGAGATTACCTTAGATTATTTACCTACCGAAAGGAGATCACTTTTTCCAAGAATCTTTGCCTAATATACAGGGTGTTTCAAAAGTCAGCTTCAAAATCAATCTCAAGGGGCTTATTTGTTGAGTCAAATTAATACTTTTTTCCTTCCTTCCTGCCAACTCTTCCTTATACCGATCTAAAGAGAGCTTTATAGTAGATTATATGGTTTAAAGCTTCAAAATTGAGAGAATAGTTATTTGTTTTACTAGGCAGAAAAGTATAGTAGATTGACTGCCGCGGCTGATAGTTCATAGCCGAGCGTAGCGAGGCTAGGAATCCAGCCAAGGCAGTTAATCTACATTTGGTGCCGTGTTAAACATAGCATTTTTTCTCCAAATGATATAAAACCAATTCTGTGTAATTTTTTTATTGAAAACTCCATTATTTTGTGTTCACCCAATGGTAGTGTCAATTTTGATTACTAATTTCATTTGAATTTTTTGGAAAGTTGCATAGCAACAAACTTTTTCTGCCTAGGCAGTAAAAGTACACCTTTTCTGCCTGTTGAGCGGCAGAAAAAAGCCACTATCCCTGCGGCTTGGAGAAAAATATAGTTTCCAGCTTCAACATTCAAATAATTGCTTGATTGAAGAAAGTTTCTTTATGGAAGAATAATAAATCTCAAGGAAGGTAGAAAAATATAATTAGGTAATAAATAATATATATATACTTTCATCAGGGTTTATTGAAAATGTTCACATTCTATTATAACTATCTGGTAGAATTTGTTATTAATCTAAACTCCTTTCTATAAATATAGTAACAGTAATTATAATCGGGACAATATTTTCTGTCAGCTAACATTTTTGAATTATCTTGAAGGAAGCTTATATCCATTTTGATTGATTCTAATGCTGTAGCTGGTGTATGCCCGTTTTTATACATCTCTATCAATTTTTCCTTGACTTCTTTTGATACTTTTCTGAATCGAAGAGTCTCTGCATTTTGTGTACCATGATTATGGGTAACAATAAAACATATTTCACAGGGCATTTCAGGGTCAGGAGGGTTTTTCTTCCGAGTCTTGTAATGTTTTTCAATAACATATAATTTAATGGTTATTTTGGATGGACAATTTGTATTCCTCCTGCTCATTCTCAATGTTGGATCATAAACTGCAGAGGATTTGATAGTATTATGATGACAATGTAACCTCTGTTTAAACTTAAGCCTTTGACCTTTCACAGAGTCTGTAGATTTGATGACATATGTTGTTTTATTCTTATCTTGCAATTCATCAAGCCATAACTTGATGTCTTCCTTTGTTTGTGCAGCAATTATAAATTGCACTTGCAGATGTTCACTTGATGTCTGTTTGACATCAATTATTTTTGTTTTCCATTTTGGCAATATATTCTGTAAATTCAAGACACCCAGAGATTATTATATAAAAAAACATGTTTTCTACTTACTGTGATATATAATAGATCACTGTTAACAGGAATATCATTTCCAAATTGAACATTATGATCTTGACTACTCGTCTGAGTCGTCTGCATTTTCGCTTTGATTTGATTGACGGTTTGATTGGTTTGATGGTTTGTTGTTTGTTCGATTCAAGATTCTCCCATCATTATTCTCCCTATCCCTATTGATCAATGTGTTTTCCCATATATCTACTACTCAATTATATGAAGAATAGCTGTAGCTGTCCTCAAAGCAGGACCACAAGTTCTGTCTCTATATTTAACGATTTAACGAAATCGACCAACAGGCGTTGATGCCGACGCAGGGAAAAAATAAGACGAAACTTGTTAAACCAATATGGCTATGAATTTGAAATTTTTAAATTGGTTTTAGCGCGTATGTGATTGATTGTGACTGAAATTCCAATATTTGCGTTTTTGGTTGTACAATTCTTTAGTGTTTGTATTTTCGTTTATTTTTCATAGACTGAACTTTTTTAATCATGTCTAGTGGAACGAAATGCAGTAACTCAACATCACATATTAATCGAAGAACAGTTGAATCAGAAAATGAATATCATTAGATAAAGTACAGGGATATTGAATCTGAGACATACCTGAATGATATTTTCATCGTCCGTAACTGGATTGTTACATATCCGCCTCCTTTCCGAATAGTGGTTTTTCCAGTATAGGCGCATCTTCCACATTTTCAATAACGTGACTAGTGTATATAATCAATGGTTATATTAAGGACTTTAAATGCCAAATAATGTACTGCTCGGATCTGAAACTTAGTATTAATTTCAAATTTGAATCGTGAGACCTACAAAGAATATAAATCTATGGAAAGTCTGGATCGATATTGTTCCAAAATTCGTAACTGGAACCCGATATATTTTTGTAATTCATCAATTCATCAACTATCTCAATGAATAAGACGAGGCAGGCCGATGGACAACACTTTTCTCTGCAATGATGCTGCAATACTGCAAAAATAATCTTTAATTTCCACTCATGAAGCAACGTTGTCAAGTTACCAATTATAATCAATTTATCAAAAGTCCTTTTTCGAGTAACCAGCATGTCTGAATATCTCTTGTACTCCATAACAAAATATCATGTTGATGTTGAAGACTCGGCAACAATGTGTTAAATGCTGAGAACTGACAAGGCACCGCCCACAATTGGTGCGCCGTGTGGTCACGTTTACCCTCAAATGCCCTCTATAGTGTGAATCAATATAATAATATTAATATTGACACGAATGTATTATATGCAATAAGCTACAACAGATGAGGAAATATTTTGAGACAATTGATTTTTCATGTCTATAGTTAGGAATAAAACCAATACAAAATTGAGAATATGTGA